TGCCATGATGCGCATGCATTTTGTAAATACGCATAAACATATGCGCATAACAGATTAGGATAAACTTTTTCTATAAAAAATGTGCATAAACAACGATGGAAACACTTTTACCGCACAAATTTCAGTATGCGCATTGAAAAAGGTCATGTGATTTTGTTAAAAGAGATCATGTGGTGATAAAAATGTGTGTAAATGATCAAACCAGCAGGCTGTGCACACTGTAACGCCATTCTAAAACACCTTCACCATATCAGTATTAGTGTTATTATATTATTAATGACCTCCAGAAACAAGAGCGTCTGTGCTCCGCGTCTGACACCTTCAAACACCGTATGAGACAGTCTCTTCATTATCCATCCAAACTTTTCATTACTACATCGGACGGTAAGAAGAAGCGGCTGCCGTCAGTTCAGGAGGCCAATGAGTTTCTTAAAGCTTATCGGCGCGAGACGACACAAGCTGTGTGAGCAGTACTTATTTTAACTACTGGACACTTGCTAACCTGAGGCTGTTTTTTACTGGATCTGACGTATTGATCTGACATGCGACAATCTGGGCATTTCAGATGATAGTCAATTATACTATTAGAGGTTGGTGAACTATTATTGTTATATGTGTAAAGTTCTATACAAATGTTTCAAGGTGCTTATTTCTACCTATATACCTCGTTTGTATACTCCTGTAATTCTATGAGTCAAATGATGTTCACTAAACATTTTATGACTACTGGGACTCACTAAAGCTCACTTGGCACGGATCATCTTACATTTGTGTGATTTTAAGACTTCCAACACTGTAACTTTCACTGTAACTTTCACTGTAACTTTTTTACCTATCACTGCTTAAGAGAAGCGTTATGTCGACCGTTAATTTTTATACTTGCTGCTTTTGTTAAAGGCTGTTTGTTCTGACCAGTTGTTTCTTTTCATTTATAGGCTTATTTGCATAGTTCTGTGGAGCTGGAGCCCAGTATGCAATTTCATTAAGAGATTGATGTGTAGCAGGTTCTCTGCTATTTAGGTTTTATATTGATAAGTTGATAAGTTTTGTTGTTTTGTTTTTGTTTTATCTTTTCTTTTTTGAAGTACTTCATTTTTCTATCTCATCTCCAACACCTTAAGGGTTACATTTTTTTTCTTCAAGAGACCCATCTTAAAACAACTGATATACAACGGCTTAAAAGAGCATGGGTGGGCCATCTGTATCCCTCAAAGTTTAGTGCGCGAGCAAGAGGTTCCGCTATTTTTATTCATAGAAGTGTCCTTTTTGAGTTGACAGATGTTGTATCCGATCCTAATGGGCGTTATGTCATAATTACCGGCAAACTTCGAGATGTGTCTGTCATTATGGCAAGTATTTATGCCCCTAATTGGGATGACAACATGTTCATATCAAAAAATGTTTCAGCTATTCCTGATATTCAAAACAGACATTATTTCAGGGGGTGATTTTTTTTTTACTTTGTTTGCTTGAGGATCTATCTAAAACTGTCCTGAACAGAGTTCATTAACCAACTCAAATTTTAAACACATTTGCACAACGACTAGGGCTATCTGATCCTTGGAAATCAAAACAGACCACTAACAAGGCCTATTCTTTCTTCTCCAATGTTCATTTTTGCTCACGAATACTCAGGAATAGATTTTTTTCTTGGTAGACAACAGACTTCTTTCCAATAAATCGAGCTGTGAATATCACAGCATCGTAATTTCAGGTCACGCTCCCACTACCGTTCATATAAATTTTTCTCAGTTTACATTTTTTTCTTAACCGTGGCACTTTCCCTTTCGGTTTTTGACTAGAGAGGAATTTAAACAATTTTATATATGTATAAAACATGTATAAGGTGTGCATTGTATTTGAGAACTACATGAACACTTTACAGTTGGTTTTGTGATTGTTTTCATCACAGAATGTCATTAAATGCTAAACTTGCAAACAGAATGAAGCACACAGTTTATTGTAATAATATCAAAATCATTAAGGGTGTGCATTATAATTGAGATTTGCATGGCAGTTTATTTCTGTTACTGATATTTGCCCGTTTTCGACTACTTTTTGGTTAACCTCTAATAAATGTTGCATTGCATCCCTATCACTGCTATCCAGTCCTTAACAATGGCAATCTAAAAATGCTATTTCCGTGTATAAAATTCATGCTATAGATGATCATTTAAAAGAACAACTGTAAATCAATGATCAAGCAGTAAAAATGATATTAAAGAAAATGATAGAAACTTAACCGTTAATGGTTCTCTTTGATGTGTGCATCACTCACAGAAATCAGAATTGAGAGCAATGGGAAGCAACTAAGCATAAATACTTGAACACATGAATACCTGAACACTCCCACAGTCACTGGGAGGAGTTGTGTGTCTTGATGGAGCAAGAATTGCTATTATTAGTTATTTTATTTTTGTCTTTACAAATATTTGATTTCAGCCTGACAAAGGTTTACACAATCTCATATCTAATTGATAAAGAGATTTTCGTGGGGGTAAAATTAATGTGCTTAAGATGAAAAAGTGGTTTCAATCAGTTAGTTTTCATTGCATTAGGGTTGGAACAGAACTGTCAACATGAGTTGAGTTAATTTGCTAATAGCTTTAAAGGGCGCCTGTTTTACCTATTTTTTAATTTTTAAAATAAGATTTTTGTGTGTCTCCAAAATGTGTCTGTAAAGTCTTAGCTCAAAACACCCATCAGATTGTTTATTAGACCTTTTAGAAGTTTGTAATTTTCAGCTTTTGTAGCTGTTTTTGTTGCCTGTGCCTTTAATGCTCCCTGCCTACCGTTTCCAAGTGCTTGTCAGAGTGTGCCTCAATCTCCACCCTCGACTGCGTCAGATAAACAGCACAGTGACAGACATGAAGGAAGCAGATCTCGCGTTACATTTGTGAAAAAAAACTACAGTAAGAAATTTTCCAATGATTATTTGATGTATTTGTTGAGTTGAGTCGATGAGCACGATAGGTCACACACAATGTTGTCTCACACACACACACACACACACGTTTAACTTTGTACTGTTTTTGATATCCGCAATGTTAATGTACAAAATAAACCTGATTTAATGTCCACAAACCAGGATTGAAGCCTCTTCTATTGTAATTTTATTGACATGCGGTTGTGTGATAGACGGTAAAATCGCTGTGTTTCTCAAAACTCATTCTTGATCACATTTGATGATGATTGATGATCACAGAGCGCTGAACAGATCTTTTAATCCCAGTTGCTTTGCACACATCCTGTCTTGTTGATATGACACACGTTAATATGCAGCTGTCAATTAAATCAGTGGCTGGAGAAACAATCACGTTATCGTGGGCCTCAAAACGGGAGGGATTTGGACCCTATTTTAACATCAGAAAAATTTTATTTTAAACCGAGGTCCTGACTCTCTGTGGTCATTAAAAATCCCATTTTTAATGGCCAAATTTGCCCACTGGCCTCTGTCCATCATGGCCTCCTAACTATCCCCAAACCAGTATTGGCTTCATCACTGTCTCCTCTCCACCAATCAGCTGGTGTGTGGTCTGGCGCAAAATATCTGCCATCGCGTCATCCAGGTTGATGCTGCACATTGGTGGTAGATCAGGAGACCCCCCCCCATGTGTAAAGCGCTTTGAGTGCCCAGAAAAGCGCTATATAAATGTAAGGAATTATTATTATGATTATTATTATTATTATCATAAACATTCTTCTCTATGTAAACTGACATTATTATCAGCAATGGTGGGAGTAACGAATTACAACTACTCACGTTACTGTAATTAAGTACATTTTTGGGGTAATTGTACTTTCATGACTAGAATTTTAAGCCTGTAATTTGACTTGTACTTAAGTACAAATTAAGCGGAGTAATACAATTCGTTACTTTTAAAATCACAATTCGTTACAGAGTACTGTAAATAAATCAATATTTCAACCACGCACTGACCAGCATTTCGGTAGCCAATAAAAAAAGCTCATCTTAACGGACCAATAAAGGCCTGGTACATTATTTGAACCGAAAAGCACGTTCAGCCTACTGCAGATTTAAGTGAGCTGACCATCATCATCATACAGTCACAAAGTTATCAATTGTCATATGGAGATTTAAGACAGAAGAAATGAGGAAGAAATAACAGAGGATGAATGCCCATGGCCGTTGGAGCTGGAACTTCATCACGGCTCACACCCGCGTCATCAGCTTGCTGCTCAACGTCGCTAGTGGTAGAACTTTGACGTTTTTTTTCGTTTTGGGCATTTTGTCAGATCCTTTCAAAAAATATTGATCTAAAGACATGACACAGTCTCTCTCTAGCCAGGCATACTGATTTCACTGAGTGAAAGTATATATTTACCGAATATTTGAGCTAATGCCACAGGAGCTCCCTTAAAACGCGTGCTCACTCTATGATGCCATTTTCTTCCCCCCGCTGTATATATTTATGGTGTATGTAATATATTATGCATGTAATCTTTGTACAGATTAAGTGTTATAAATGAAGCCATAAGTACTAAATAGCTAAAAACAAATGATTTGCCAGCTGTTTTATGGTAATGACAATCCCTAATATCCTGTGATGCAAAATGTTCATGTTTTAAATTCATCACAGGCACAAGAGACGAAGCGCAACAATGTTTGTGATTTCCACAGACCTTTTACTCCAACAGCAGTGAGATGTTTGGCAGCGTCAGTGTAAAAGTATAGAGTTCAGTCAGAGAGCACCATCATCACTCTTATCTTCCTCAAACACAACTAAATACAAAACTGAGAGCTAACAAATCAAATGACTACAAAACAAAAACAACATACCTCAATATCAAAATACCTCAGCATAACACAAGCTTTCAACCCAACATCATTTAAGAGACCATCTGAGAAAACAGTCCAATATTAACACCAGTATCCTACGAGCAGTTTGGTGTACTGCATTAAGTCAGATTTACTCTGCGATGCATGCTGGGATTATAAATTAATTCAATGTTCTGTTAAATAACATCATAATAACATTTTATATCATATCAACATTTTAAATAAAAATATTCAAAAATGAGGTTTCCAACACAATCTCCGTACAACAAACAAATGTACTTAAGTGTAAAAGAGGATTTACGGTGTGAATGGGTGTTGGGAGGATCACTGAGTGTCAAACCAGCTGAAAAACCCTTGATCAGCCAGTGATCTGTTGATCAGAACCATCTGCAGACACACAGAGCACATACAACACAGTTTAAGCTGACATTTTAGATCTGTTTAGGCAAAAAGGAGTGACATTAAATACCTCGTCTCCTGCCTGTTTCCACAGGTGCACCAGAGGAAGTCCATCTTGACTGCCAGTCACCTGAACACAAACAACATCATTCACGTTTATACAGAAGCAAACTTTATTTTGTAAAGCTGTAGTTTGGTTTAATTAAAAGCTAGTAACTGTTAAGGGATATTTACATCATTGTTTACTCACCCTTGCCTTGTTTTAAACCAGTTTGAGTTTCTTCTTCTGTGAACACAAAAGATCTGTGAACACAAAAGATACTTTGAAGAATGTTAGAAAGTTGTAAACACTGACTTCCATAGTAGGAAAAGCAAATACTGTAGAAGTCAGAAGTTACAGGTTTACAATATTCTTCAAAATATCTTCTTTTGAAAAAAAAAAAACTCAAACAACTTTAAAACAAGTCAAGATTGAGTAAATGATGGCAGAATTACATTTTTTAGAAGAACTATCTTTTTAACACTTAAATTGCATTTGAAGAGACGTGCATAAACATTTTTAATAAAAACATACATTTTAGTAAGAGAATCATTCTTAATAACCCATTAATAATTATTTTATAATAATATTTGAAGATATAATCGTGTAAAATTATACATAAATATTTTAGAGTAACATGTTGTTTTGATAGTGCTTTCGCCTCACAGCAAGAAGGTCGCTGGTTCGAGTCTTGGCTCAGTTGGCATTTCTGTGTGGAGTTTGCAAGTTCTCCCTGCAATTCGATGGGTTTCCTCCGGGTGCTCCGGTTTCCCCCACAGTCCAAAGCGGTATGCGGTACAGGTGAATTGGGTAGGCTAAATTGTCCGGAGTGTGTGTGTGTGTGTGTGTGTGTGAATGTATGTGTGGATGTTTCCCAGAGATGTGTTGCGGCTGGAAGGGCATCCGCTGCGTAACAACGTGCTGGATAAGTTGGCGGTTCATTCCGCTGTGGCGACCCCAGATTAATAAAGGGACTAAAGCGACAAGAAAATGAATGAATGAATTAATGTTGTTTTAATGATGCTTGGTTACACATCATATATATATATATATATATACACACACACACACACATATGTATATGATGTATACCAAATGGGTCAATGATGATGGTAATAATAATAAAAATAATAATAATAAAACAACAACAACAATTCTAAATGCAGCATTACCATAAATGAAAAAGTAAAACTTAGCAATTCTTTCCACATTCACTTATTAATTAAAAGTTATAAAAGAGAATAAGTGGTTTTAGCTGAAAGTTTTTATGTAATTAAACATTTTTGTGAGAGACTGGGGGTTATTTAAATGTACAAATGTTTACAATTTAATGTTGGTTCAATTGTACGGTTTGTGACCAGTCACATATATGAACATGTTTCCAGAAAACAGAACCATTAAGAACAAAGTTAAGATTTTGAAAAAAATTTGTTATTAAGAATTAAAGTTTTAGATATATACAAAATATTTCCTTAGCCCACAAAACATACTTAGAATGCAAGTATAAAGTACAAACCACAGTGGAATTTACTACAAACAACAATAATTCAGTAAATCTGCCTAAACACATCATCAAACTGAAACTAGTAGGATGTGTAAATTTGTATACAAAATTTTCTCCCATTAGAATACAACCAAAATGTGTAGCTCTTATGCTTGCTTGACTTAATTGCAATAGTTATTGGCTTTTAAATGAAAAGTTACAACTTGTTTTAATTAGAAAAAAACTGACTTGTATTTTAAGAAATATGGTAGAGAAGTATTACTGAACTATTAAAGACATCAGAAACAGCAGGGTTCTCATACAAGATTCAAGGATCTTCAAGGGCGTTTTAAAGCACCATTAATTTTAAATGAAGCACCTTTGTAAAGTCCTTACTGTACTTAACATTTCACCTACACTTAATATTTACGTTAAAATGTAATTTTCAAAGAACTTTAATAAAATTTGTTGAATTCAGTACTTGCAATATTCAAATGCTATTTCTGGAATAAGTGAAAATGTGCATTATTTTTTAAGTTTATCGTACAAGATGTAAATGTACCATTATTAATTTAAGAATTTCTCAGTTTTTTTTGTTCTGTTTTTGACAATGGAGTACAAATGTTAAAATAAAACCATAAACAAATGTTATTTAATTCAATTTAATTCAAGCATTTCAAGGACCTGTGTTTATGTACTTTTCAGGCCTTTAAAGTACTTTCAAGAAGCGTAGGAACCATGTCAGCAGACAAAGCATTCTGAGAAATCCTAGTCTCCTGAAATGATGCATTAAAGTGGAAATAATCTAGATCCACAATATCAGAAAACAACCAACAGAAACTTGTTTGTGTGTTATAACCTTTAGAATTAGGGCCACATTAGCAGTTGATTCCTCCAGTGCTTCTTTGGCTTCCAGAGAAAACTCCTCATCACCTAGCAATGTACAAAAGTATTTATTTATTTTAATCTACCAGATATTTATGAGCAGAAAAAGCACTGCAAAGTGAATTTTAAATCAGAAATAGGCCTATGTTTACCTGGCAAAGGCATGATATTGTCCAGCAGAACCTCTGCAGCCTGGAAAGGTAACGTCACAAAGTCTGACCTGTGAAAACAGACTTAAAATATTAGATTTAATTCATAAAAATAAAAACAGTCAACGATGAAGAGCACAGGACCTGATCTGCCTGAGGGTGGTGCTGTTCACGGTGTCGTATCCTCCGCTATCTACATATCTGATATGAGTGGTGCCAGTCTCTCCATCATACTGAATGACCTGTGCTCTCTGCCAGCCACTTCCTGTTACCGGAGCGGCACAGACCACACCCACTGAAATAGACACGCACGCACGCACGCACGCACGCACACACACACACAAGCACACAGTTATAAACTAGATGACTAGTAAATTTCTATAGATAATCAAATCTTCAAGTAATGCCATCTACTGTATATAAGCCACTAAAAAAATACATAAGAATATTTATTTATTATCAAAAACATTTATTAGATCAAGTGTCAATGGCAACATTTATTATTAGAATAATATTTTTGTAATCAATTACATATAATATTTAGTTAATTATTTGCTAATTAATTTTTTATAGAATCTGCAACTAAATTGTTTGTTAAATATGTTTATAGAACATTTACTGCAGCTCTTAACCAACATGTTTCAAACTTTTTGCAAAAAATAAAAAATAAAATTCACAGACACATACCGTTTTGAAACGGTAATACATTTTCATTTTAGGTGAACTTTCCCTTTAATTTAAATTTTATTTTTAAGTACTGGGTCTAACATATGACAAAATTAACTTCTTATTGATTTTTAGACAACAGTTTAATAAATAAGAACTGTGCACAACATTCAGGGCAAAAATAAAAAAAGGGGGGTGTTAACAGCATAAAAAAATCTATCTATTATTATATCATCAATTTAAAGGGATCATCATGTTTAATGCCATGTGAGCAACAATTACTCTTTTAATGGCAAAAACATTTCATTAATATACAATTAAAAACAACAAACAAATAAATACATAAAATAGATTTTTACATGTTAATACACGATACAAACTCTACAATTTTTCTGGAGACCAATTTAAAGGAATAGTTCACCCAAAATTGAAAATTGTCATTTTATTCACTCTTCTCGTATTCAACACATTGAGTTTCCTTCTTCTTTTGAACACAAAATTATTACACATAGTATTTACTTCCTACAACAGTATGAAAGTAGTAGGAACTTATGGAGTCAATGAAAGGTCATATATACTTGTAAAATAAATTTTGCAAACAATAAACTAAATATTTAGCAAAAATAAACAAATGCAAAAAATAAATAAATGTAAATTTTTTATATATATATATATATATATATATATATATATCCTCCTGAGTTTGAGAAACGCTTCCCCGCATGAACATTCCACCCCGCTCCCGCACCTCCTCAGTTTGTATACGCTTCCCTGTATTGTCGCTCCACTCCGCCCCCGTTCCCCGCTCTTCAGTTTGTGATCACTCCTCAGTTCCTCGCGTCGTCGCTCCACTGACTCCATCGACCTCCACAGATAGCCTAATTTTGTTTAAAAAAATTTCTTATGTAACAAATTTCATTCGTTATAATTTGTATCTTTACTTTAATATATTTTTTGTTGGTCAGTTATCTACAAAATAAACTAAAAGAATGAATAAACTTTAGGTGAAGTGAGGAGCAAATAATACTTTTTGGCCTTAAGGGAATTATGAATTAAATTCAGGTAGGCCTATTATAACCTAAAATTTACTATTTCTGACAATTTTGTTTATAATTCGAGTTATGAATTACAGTATCGCAATACTTTTTGGCATCATAATACTTCAGCTGGTATAGTATTGTAAGATTAATTAATGGTATCGTGACAACCCATATATGTATGTATGTATGTGTGTGTGTATGTGTGTGTGTGTATATATATATATATATATATATATATATATATATATATATATATATATATACACACACACACACACACACACACACACAAATGAAATTTGTTATAAAAGAAATTTTTTTTAAACAAAATTAGGCTATCAGTGGAGGTCGATGGAGAAATTGAGGTAATTTTCATTTTTGTTTGAACTATTCCTTTAAATTAATAGCCATAATTTACAACATATGTAAAGAAATACACGCATTTAGATTGATTTGAATTTAGTTGAGCTCCAACCCTAAGCAAACACACCTTCATATAGATTTCTAGTGATCTTAAAGACACTGATTAGCTTGTTCAGGTGTGTTTGATTAGGGTTGGAGCTAAACTCTGCAGGACAGTGGCCTTCCAGAACTGAAGTTGCATATCCCTAAATTAGATGATTGCTGATTTTAGTAGGTTTGTTTGTTGATTTACCTTCAACAGGAGTGGGCAGGCTAGGACACCCCGGCTGAGAGTAGCAGAGCTGCATGGCCTGTATGAGTGTGGGAAGCACCTGGTGAGATGGATGACTGTGCTGATGAACGAACAGATGATGAGCCGCCTCCACCCGCGACACCATCACCTCCACAAACACATCCTGAGGAAGCAGCAGCTACAGACACAGACACGCACACACCTCTTACAAACAACCTCTCACAACCAGACATACATTGTTATGTGCCATCTTGTCAGGATATTCAGTGTCAATGTTGTCAATCTTGCTGTGGTGCGTCTTTTAAATAATAGTTCACCCAAAACTCTCCTCTCCATTTACTCATACTCAAGGGTTTCTATACGAAACATTCCTCTGTAAAACAGGAAGATAGACTGAAGAATATTATGCAACATGGAAGTCAACGGCTGTTTTTTTCCGAGTTTCAGTATCTTCGTTTGTGTGGTGCAACTGGAAAAAATAATAACAGAATTTGTATTTTTGAGTGAACTATCCCTTTAAGGCCCTAATATACTTGCAGCAAAGTTCTTTTTTTGGTAGGTCATGGTTGAAATTGGTGATGTCAGTCTTTCCACTTGAGATCATACATTTGAAGGTAATTTTTTCATATCGATTGCAGCATTCACAATAAGTTAGTTTAGTGAGCAATACAACATATGCATCCTATCCTCCTCTGTTGCAAACATTTAGCAATAGTACAATGTTCAAAATACATGTTAAAATGTTAAGGCTACTGGCTGTTCATGCTCCAGGCTTTCCCAAACACACTTGGGATAATTTTCTGAGGCTGTGGATTAACATAGGGTCTATGCAGAAATTCTAAAGGTACCTTTTTTAAGACCTCATTGCCACTTTAAAGTTCAAATCAGTACCAAGCCTTTAACTTAATAAACAGTTGTTAATAAAGAGTTGTGGTTAAATAAATCAATGGAGCACAACCATGCAACAGCACTCAGATAAGCTGGAAAGAAACAAAGCTTTAATGAATAAATTACGCGGTTGTTTTTAGGCTTCAGACACTGTTTAAACTCGTCTTTTTCCAACTAGGAGTACTCAAAACTTACATTTTCCAGTCTGTTTCGCTCTATGGTTTCGCTTCATGTGGAGAGCGTTACATCACCTTCCCACATTTGTCGCAAATTACGTGACATCACGTTGTTAATATTAGGAGTAAAATTTATATATATTTAGATATATTTATGCTGTTTTAAAGTCAAACACGCTTGAACAAAATTTAAGACCTCGTAAAAATGTTATTAATACTTTTTAATACCTTTTAAGAGCCTTAATTTTCAACTTTTAATACTTTTTAAGACCCCACAGACACCCTGTAACAGTAATGTTGTAAAACATGTTTAGATCTTTTTTTACAAACTATGATTTAGCTTCAAAAGATCTCAATGTATCATCAGATGCCATGGGTATTAAATTTGCTTAGCCTGTACACGTTCACTATATAAATCACCCCTAAATTTCAATTTCCAAAAGTTGACACTAATAGACAATGTTTTTGTTGTCCAGGGTCACAAATAAAAGCACTTTTATTATGCATCCAGATTAATTGACATTCGCAAAAAATCCTCACCCAGGATGTGATGGGCAGGCAGGGCAGAGGAGCACAATTACTCAGATCCAGATCTTTGAACTTCTTCCTGACAAGAGAGAGAGCTTCATCCACCTGCTGTTGTGAGCCTGGATCAACACAAACAAATGTGAATTCAGCACTGAGTTTTAGCAAAGAGTCAAATACAATCATCATCATGGGAAAACGCACCCTGAATGTGGCAGATTTGAATATCGTGAGTGAACGGCAGGGTGGAGACGTAGATCTTTGCTCCAGAGCTCTGCTTGAGGAAGTTCATAAACTTTCCCTGCTTCCCGATCAATCGACCAACAAGATGCTGGAGAGACAGGACTTGGTTTAAACCTTCAAATAACAATATTCTACCTCATAATAAGTTTAAAAAAAAAAAAAAAAAAAGGTCATTCTCTCACTTATAGAAGTCATGTTACTCTTTTTATATCTAAAACAATCCTCAACATCTTTATATGTTGTAGTGTAGTGAGTCTTGCACTTCAAGATCATACATTTTTATAGCTGTGCAGCATCTCTGAACACATTCAAACACAAGTCTATTGTGTTTAAAAATTATTAGTGTGGCGACGCAGTGGCTACAAGGTTAGCGATGTCACCTCACAGCAAGAAGGTTGCTGGTTCAAGCCTTGGCAGGGTCAGTTAGCATTTCTGTGTGGAGTTTGCATGTTCTCCCAGTGTTGGCATGGGTTTCCGCAGAGTGCTCCCTGTGTTGGCATGGGTTTCCTCTGGGTTTCCCTAACAGTCCAAAGAGGTGAATTGGGTAAGCTAAATTGTCCGTAGTGTATGTGTGTAAATGAGAGTGTATGGGTTTTCCAGTGATGGGTTACAGCTAGAAGGGCATCCACTGTGTAAGTTGGTGGTTCATTCTACTGTGGCGACCACAGAATAATAAAGGGACTAAGCCAAAAAGGAAATGAATAATTAGTGTGCGTGTGTGTCTGTGGGCAGGGCTCACCGTTGGCACTTCTATGTCCCACTGGATGATGGGCGGGGAAGGAGGAGGAGCCAAGCTGCTCATTTGAGTATCAGCAACAATGCAGCTTTCAACACCTGAACCTGGAGACAGTGTCAATGTGAATGCAGCACACATTTTGTTAGTGCTTTGTGACTGAATCCTCTCTCTGATTGAAAATGGCTCGTAATTAACTGTTTAAATAAATGTTAATACAGCATTTCTACTCAAACTTAGTAGGCATGCGTTTCTCTTTGCAATATATCCAAAAACATAATCCATAAAAACAAAACAAAAATACATGCAGTGGCCAATATTCTAACAGATCTAAAAATATTGCCTCCAAAACATGATTTTATTTTTTATGATTAAGTTTTAAATCAAATGAAGCGAGTTGAACCAGATGAGTTGTATCAGATGAGGTGACTTTTCATTCACTTTTAGCTATAACCGTCACGTTCTGCTTTAGCAAGAAGGTCACTGGTTCGAGTTCCAACTGGGTCAGTTGGCATTCCTGTGTTGAGTTTGCATGTTCTCCCCATGTTGGCGTGGGTTTCCTCAGCGTGCTCCGGTTTCCCCCACAGTCCAAAGACATGCGCTATAGGTCAATGATTTAAATTGGCCACTGTATGTGCGTATGGGTGTTTCTCAGTAATGGGTTGCGGCTGTTGCGTAAAACAAATGCTGGAATAGTTGGCGGTTCATTCTGCTGTGGTGGACCCTAATAAATAAGGGACTAAGCTGAAAGAAAATGAAGAGATGAATGAATCTCCACCTTTTGCAGCAATAGTAGCAGTAAATCTCTCCTTCAGAGTATGAATGCATTCCCTGAGATCTTGAACAGTTATGTTATCTCATGCCTTCTGCAACTGAAGACAAAGGTTTGTTTCTGTGACATTGACAGAAAAATATGCCTAGCTTGTCTCCCTATGATGGCTCTATTATATGTCTTATATAACATATTGATGACTTTAAAAGGTATTAAATTACCCAATAATAAAAAAACAATGCTCTTAAGTAGGGATGCTCCAATCATGACTTTAGCAGCCAATACAGAGTATCGACTCTTTGTCTTGGTGATCGTCTGATACCGATACCAGTTCTAATTCTTCAGCCTTGTACTGTATTCATTTAGCACATTTTCCCTCCAAGTATGATACTCAAGTAAGGATCCTGCCTTAGCTAAGAGAATAAATCAAGGATGCTGCATATAATACCTTAAACACATCTTTTTTTAACAATTTAGTGTGGACATGTCATGGCCAGAAGCAACATTATAGAAAATAATACACACAGGTAAGAAAAATTACAAACAATGCAATTCAGCAACATTGCAAATGACAAAAAAAAAAAAGAATTCAACATGTCTTAATCAAGAAAAAGTTTGCACATTTGATGCATAAGAAGTTAAAATACGCACCTATAAATCCATTACTTCTTTACTGAAATTTACTAAGACTGGCGAGTACTGATCGAGTCAATAAATATGATTATCGGTCGATACCGATCTTAAATCTGTGTAAACCAGAAGTTTCTGAGACTTATTTCAGTATGTTATTGTACTTCCAGGTGAAATGGGATATTGAGTAGGAGGTGGGTCTTTCTTTTTGCACATCATAACCTCAATGCAAAATAACAGTAAGAGGGGCGTGGTTAAGAATATTGTGGCTGCAGCATCAAACTGACATCAACAGAGAAAAACCACAACTCCAAATGCCGAAGCAAATGCTCAGATTTTGATTGAAATTTACCAAAACAAACTTTTTTTTTATTTTCAGTGAATTAATAATTAGTGAATTAATTCCCTTTTTTGAAAAAAAGTTTTAATATACATACAAACGTACCATGCCAGGCCTCCTCCTCTCCCTCTCCGAGAATGCTGGGAATCATTTTGCCGTCTATGCTGGTTGTGTCTGATTCTGTCATTAAAAAGCTTTGTTCCTCCTCTGAGATCTCACAGGTCAGTCCCTCCGAACCGGAAACATCCTCTGAGAAGCTGGAATTACATCCAGAATCATCTCCAACAGAAGCTCCTAAATCACTGAGCAGTTTTTTCCTGAATGAGCCGGTTTCTCTGTCGTTGTCATCGCCACTGATGCTTTGATGCTGAACTAGATCTTGAGAAGCAGATTGAAATCCACTGTTTGGAGGTCTCGAAAGTGGATCGCTGGAGTGCTGGTTTTCTGTTGTGTGTATTACTTGCTGGACCAGAACAGAACTGATGATCTCCATGTTCTCCTGGCTTTGTTCAGGGGAGAAATCAGACAGGCTGCTGCCATCTTTATCATCAGTAAAGTCATCTTCATGAACTTCACCAGTAAAATCGTCCTTTTCTTTTTTGCTTTGGTTTGTTTCAGGGAAACGAATTGATACTTCTCCCTCTGGCTCAGGCCGAACCCTCTCATTGAGGCCTATTACAGGTGAGGTACTGGTAAACTTGTGCATTTCCACAAATGGTGATGTGTCAGTTAACTCTGTAATTTCAGGGGATCTGGAGATGTTTTGATTCATCTTCAGGTCACTATAAAACAAAAAAAAAAAACAGAAGCAGTCTGGTGTCTGCCTTGAATCTCAATCTCGATCCATTTCTAAAACAAAAATTACTTGGATAGGTCAGGATAATTTTGGCATGAACCTAGATTTTCCATTCCCCAAGAATGTAAACATTAGCCCCACTGCTAAAAGCATGAATGATGCAATATATTTGCATGAATAAAAACACACACACACACACACACACACACACACACACACACACACACACACACACACACACACACACACACACACACACACACACACACACACACACACACACACACACACACACGTATGCACATTATATGATTAGTACAAATATAATATTATTTTGGCGAAATAACATATATTGACCCATACATTTTTTGTTATAAACAATGGTTAAACTGAAGATTAGATTTTCATCACTTATGAAACTGGTTTGAAGTAATTAACATGCAATTTTTTCACAGAAACAAATTGCTATCGTATCTAAAGAAGTTCTATTCTAAAATAAACATTTTCAGAAAACAATGGTAATTTATCTTAACTAAAAATGTGGTGTATGCACAAAACGGGTGGAAACATGTGCATTCTACTTCTCATAAAAAAGTTTAAACTTTCAACAACAAAAAAAAAAACTTGAGGGGGAATGTGCACAGTTGTAGTTGAATTTTAAAATCACACAATAGTTATTGATAAATATTTTTACATTTATTTTGCAATCTGTTCACTTTTTTCTTTGGTTTTCTTTGAACCACTTGAGGGAGAGTAAATAATGAGTAAATGTTTATTTTTGGGGGCGAACTATTCCTTTAAATCAGGGGTGCCCAAATTTTTCTTATAAAGGGCCAAAATCCAAATTTGATTTGAGACTAATGGGCCTGAGGTAAATTCAGTATCCATGGGTAATTTCCTAATTTATTTAATAACAATTAAAAATAACTAGAAAACATTGCTTTATATTAACTATTAGAGCATTTTTTACTAAATTTTCATTTTTAAATTAAGTGTAAAAGTTTCTGCCTTGATTTGCTCGCCGATGTGTTCAGCATAGTCCTCTATCCATTGAGTGACATTATTTGCATTGCAAAAAATCTGATTCATTTACAACATTTAATTGAAACGTGCTTTTTGGTAGCTGCAGCAATAAAACAAACAAACAAACAAAGAGGGTTATGTCAAATTATAAATGACAATCTCTTTTAAAGGCATTCACCCCAACCCTCTTGATCATTCGTACACTTTTCTCAGATGGGATGGTGGGCCAAATCAAAGGTCACAAGGGTCCTACTTTGGGCATCTCTGCTTTAAATGAATGGCCAAAACTTAATTTTCATTCTTAGCCGAAGACTTAAGACAAAAGTATAGCTCAAACAACATATACATACACACATATATACACACACACACACACACACACACACACACACACACACACACACACACAAACACACACACACACACTTAAAACAACACACAAGTCATGCACACTCTAAACTACTGACCTTTGCCCCAAAACACCGTTGTCAGTAGGTGAAAACTGAACCGGGCTGCTTCCGTCTAACAAACACTTCTCTTCTTCAGTCCAGAGAGAAGCTTTAATTTTTCTCCTCCTTCTAAAACTGTACCAGCACCAGCCCAGCAGAGTCAACACAGTGACAGAAACCAGCGGCCTCACCAACACCGGCATCCTCCCTCCACAGATCCACTGAAAGAGAGAGAAACAGAGGTCAGGGCATCTAGTGTGACCATCCCTACTCCTGAGTGGCTGTAGACTGTAAGGAGAGACCCCTGAGCTCAGAGGCGGAGTGAGTTTTGACACCAGCGCTTCTGCAATCCAAGCCTGAACCACAGCAATCTCATTACCAGCTCAAATATCCCACCAACACGAGGCTCTCTTAAATACAGCTGTTCAGTAAAGTGACATTCTCCACATATAATGGTCTCTGACTGGGGTAAACTGGTTTTATATTCGCACATTCAGACATTTTGCTTAGTAATATAATTTCTGTAAATCATGTTTTGTAAAGTATAAATAAGGAAACCATTTAGCAGCCAACAACTATCAAAGTACAACACTGTTTACAGACAATTAAATAGTACTAATGTTGTTTTGAATTTATAATTGCATGCGATTTCAGACCGACTATTCAAAGTAGTGTGGTAAACAATGTAGGGACTGTCACACACAGAGGTGGATAGAGTACTGAAAAATCATACTTAATTAAAAGTACCATTACTCATTCAGAGTAAAAAGCAGATCTTTCAAAAGTACTCAAGAGTAGTGAGTATTACACTAAAAAGCTGATGCATTTACATGTAATTTGTGGATGTGTGTAAACGTAACATTCTGTAGTCAATTTGAATATTACCAGGCAAGCACATGTCCCATGTTAATATTAGGTTGATTTAGGTTGTGATGTCAGGTGAGTAAAATTCAATGTCTTGCCAGCTCTAAGGATGCAGTTTGGTTGCACAATGGTTTGTGTATGATTTGCAGGGCTCTTGTTTTATAATTTCATTTTAGATGCCCATGAGACGTGTTTATTTGACACCGTGGTATTGTTTACTATCATTCTGAGGTAAAACTGGCCTGTAATGTATTTATTTTATTTTTTAAATCAGGTCTAAATAGTGTTGAGTAAAGTTTCATAAGCTCTTATTTTATAATTTCAGATCAGATGCCCATGAAACAGTTTAGTTTAACACCGTGGTAATGTCTACTATCATTCTGAGGTAAAACTGGTCAGTGATATCTAATCATTTTATTTTATTTTATTTTTTTTAAGCAGGGCCAAAAGGTGTTTTGTTTAAGGTTTAAAGGGCTCTTATTTTATAATTTCATATCAGATACCCATAGATATATACATGTCAGATACCCATGAGAAGTGTTTAGTTAACACCGTGATAATGCCAACTATCAATCTGAGGTAAAACTGTCTCGTGACACGAATTCGCTGTATTAATATAGCTTTTTTTTAATACAGTGACAAAGCAGTATCGTTTATAAGACTGTAATGACTTTTATTTTGTAACTACGAATAAATCATTCTCGATATTCCGATTACTTAGTTGCATTAACTTATTTTTTCGTAATTTTTTTATATTTTATCATCAGTCAGTGGGAGACGCTGGTCTATCATAACAAACAAACATGCATTAGCAACAGTATTTGTGTTAACATCAGTTTTTATCGCTATCGGGTTACCGTAATAAGCAGTATGAGCGACCGCAGAAAGTTGGGGGCTAGAATGACCGTTCATTTTGAACTGGCGGCTGTCCTGACCGCAGTCAAACACTACACAGAAATGTCAACTGACCCAGCCGGAGATCCCACAGCGTAAATGTAGTTTTGAACATTTTCTGTAACCAATAATTTGTCTAAATATTTCAAACGTTTCTCATGTCACGGGTTTGCCTTTGTGGGTTCATGTCCATGTCAGCTTTGGTTTTAGCGTTAAAAAACATGTTAAAAGCCAATTCGTGCATTAAAATCACAAATTCACGTTACTTATCACCGAAGAAATCGCTAAATAATATCCAATAATTTCACAAATAACAGCAGAAACAACTGTTTAACGCCCTACTCACCGTGAAGCTCAGCAGCGAGGGTTTGATTGTGATGTCACGTGAGCAGGTGTCAGCAATCAGGCGATTGAATTCCAAATTGTATTAATATGCTTGAAAATGTGACGATAAACGAAGCATTTCAAAGAAAATGCTTAATGGACAACAGAGTATAAAACATTAATAAAAAATAAATCACACTACAGCTACAACAGAAACATGTAAAACGGTGCCAAAAGTGATTGAGAAAGGGTGTGGCCTTACTGGGCTTTCCTTATTTATACTGCAAAATGGCGTAGAAGAGTGCATAGGTATGCTATATGGGAATCACCTTAACTTTAGTTATCGGGCTTGAAACACTTGTGGTAGCATTTTTAATGATTCACCTAAAAAAATATATATATATATATAATATATATTTTTATATATGTTTAACTACACATGTAAACAGATAGAAGTCTTTATGTAGCCTAAATGTTTTCTAATTTCTGATCTTTAATATTCAGAATAATTTTCTTGTCTTATTTTCTTTACTCTTAACATTTTATTTGATTTAAAATAACTTCACTTTACTTTAGAGGGAAAAAGGTTGGGAAATAGTCAGTGTCATCACTATCTAATATAACGAAAGATTTGTACAACCTCACCGTGTCAAAAATAAAATTAAAGAAGTGACTAACTAATTTACTTAATATATCTGGTGAAAGAGTTTTGAATACACGTTTTGGTTTGATGCTGAATATCTTATATTTAAACTTACGAAATGAGGAGTTCAGTTTTCTTTTTAGGATAGTTTTTTGAGGCACAATAATAAAATTTAAAGCCAAATGTGTTTATTATTCAATGATTATGGGCGTCACGGTGACGCAGTGGGTAGCACGATCGCCTCACAGCAAAAAGTTTGCTGATTCGTGCCAGCTAGGGCTCCGGTTTCCCCCACAAGTCCAAAGACATGCACTATTAGTGAATTGGGTGAGCTAAATTGTCTGTAGCAGGGGGGATTTGTCCCCTTTACTTTTAGAGACAGACCATTTAGAAACAGGTGATTAAGAATGAGAACGTTTCGATTTCATACAATTGTCCCCCCCACTTTTAAAATGTCCACTACACCCCTGGTCCGTAGTGTATGTGTGTGAATGAGTGTGTATGGATGTTTCCCAGTGTTGGGTTGTGGCTGGAAGGGCATCTGTTGTTTAAATAAGCTGGATAAGTTGGCGATTCAATCCGCTGTGGCGACCCCGATTAATAAAGTGACTAAGGCGAAAAGAAACTGAATGAATGAATTTCTTGAAATATATATATATATATATATATATATATACCCCCTGTAATTTTATTATTATTTTTAATTCTCTGTTGATTTGTTTCGTTGATGTTTAACAATTATAAGTACCACATTGGTAAATTTTTGTATGCTATTGTTCTTGTTATGCCATGAAAAAAATTGCAACCCCAGCTAGAGTAATAAGTCTAAAATCAGACATGACTTCATGGTCCATAATCCTGGACCAGGCCTTATCCTGATCAGATACTGTGGCAATCAAGGAGGAGAGCATGAGACTGATTCCTGAAAGACCCCAGTGACAAATGAGTCTCCGCACTACTCCCGTAGGCCAGCCTGAACACCCGCCAGTGACCCACTCACACCTGCAGCTTCTTTATGATGGACGTCCAGCGTTCTCCAGCGCCTAAACTGCAGTTTGGCCAGAGGAGAAATGGTCGTGCCCAACTGAGCCTCGTTTCTCTTAAGATTCTTTTTCCTTCACTTTCGGCAATTGGTGAATATTGTTCCTCATAACTGCGGCCACTGGCTTGCTTGGTTTGGGACTTGTGGAGCTGCATATTGATGGATTTGCTCTTCAGTGTTTGGACTTTCAGCAGTGAAAATTAAACCACACTGAACTGAACTAAACTGAACTTCAACTCTGAAAACTGAACTGATGCAGTTTCAATTTACTAGATCTACTATGTGAAGCTGCTTTGACACAATCTACATTATAAAAGCGGTACAGAAATAACCATAAATTGAATTTAACGCAATGCATATACGATGAGCAAACGGGACAGAAATGAACTTTATTAGTGTTACATCTGTAAATATGAGATCAGATTATAACAACAATGTACTATAAAGCGAGTTCAGAGGACACAAAGACTTCGACCATCAGTGCAATCCTCGACACTCCCCTCCATGGTAATCGACATAATGCAGTGAACATGATTGACAGACAATAATCCATATTTTGTGTTGTACATATTCAGCAATTAACTGCTTTACAAAAAAGCTAAATAATACAATGTCACTTGTATTTACAGTGTAGTAAATATACCTTTCTATTTTTACACAAAAAACATATTTACAAAGATGAAGCTTCAAGCATAAAAAATAGAAACAAAACAGAACAATTATGTAAAAGTTTGCATAACCTCAAGTGCCGAAAGAGGAAAAAACCTCACTGTGTAGTGTCTGAAACACCCATCAGTCTCTGCCATCATGACTAAACCAACGTTTAACACTCGATGTGACATTAAAACGTACCAATGCGAAGTAAAATTTCCTACTGTACTTACAAATCAACATATTCAGGAGTTAAAGTGGCATTGGGTAAGTATAAAAGTTATGACTTTAAGCTTGGATTTCATTGTAGAGACAAACAATATCTCACAGGGCTTAACATTTACATGACCAGTAAGAAAGACTTGTTTCAGTCTTAAAACTCAAAACCGGAGAGTACAGGATGTGAAGAAAGTTACAGTTCACTGAGCTAAAACGTAAAGATATAAGCTTCAAGTAAATTTTAAAAAAGTGCTTGTAAAATTAAAAATCCTTGATGGGCCGTGTGTATCTTTAACCCTTGAGTGCTGTTGGGGATGTTTTCATCCACTCTGGGGTGATTTTGAGTCTTGATTTGGCCACAACTTTCTGTGTTTCAGCAAATTGAATGATTTCTGGTGACAAAACGTATTTGGACACATATTTTGGGAAAATAAAAATAAAAAACTCTCAACAAAACAGTCTTGGCAAATTGACTACCCTTTTGTTATGTTGGGGGCTGTTTTTGCCCCATTGACTTCCATTATAATGACGTTTTTTTGATTGCAAAGCCATGACACCATATAATCATGCATTCTTGATTGTTGGTGGTTTTCCTTGTTGGGAAGAGGTCAAATGCTGATGTTTACTGTTCATAATCAGTTACAGGGCAAAAAAGCTTTGGGGTATAGTGGGTGAGAGTGCAAGAGAGACCATGAGATGTCTGAGCAAATCAAAATAAGCAGCTCAGCTCTCAGAACATAATAAATATAGTAAGTGTATTTATGCACGCACACTATAATCTGCTATTATACTCCATATAAAAGCCGGAAACCTTTTTGCACAGGCCTATCTAGGTGTGTACTCACATTAAGTACGGTTGCCTTGAACCGTGCTGAAGTGCGATTGTCCCCCTTCCTCTCTCCCCCGATTGCTTTACCTTCAGAGCTGGAGCACACTTACGTCATCGATAATGCGACTGTTCAGTTTAACAGGAAGAGAAGCGCTCTCGCTCAGCACAGTAGAGGGTGCTTAAGTTATATCCTTTTGTATTATTCTTAGTCATTTGGGCTGCAGTGACATGCAGTTTAATATTTTGTGGAACAGGGTATTGTTGCACCAGCTGTTCGCGAGTTATTTCTTAAACTGGAACGTAAAGTCCACACTAAATAAATTACTAAAATAAAGTAAATTTGTTCATACTCTGGTTGCACCACATGTTCTTAGGGCACACCGTAGTTAGTAGGTCGTAAGCTCTCCGTAAAGTTGCGTGTAGTTGCATTGGATGACGTGATAGCTAATAAAAAGCATTTAAATCGTCAGACTGGTTCAAAATTCTGCAACTAATGCATCTATATATTACTGTCCTTTAAATTTTTCAGTCACTGATAACAGATGGCGCACATATCTGCATTCACGCAAAATACACATGAAGTTCAAATCAAAACATAAGACGTAAAAGAGAAAAGAGCAGGGAGAATATCTCAGTCATGAACAAATTCTCATTTTAATTGATGGATACAATTGACCCTTCGCTAAGCCCCGCCCTCCTTAGTTACTGTTGCTATGCCTGTCAAGCTTTCGTGCCTGGCACGTCTACTGTATGCGCCAGTGTCAGACATTTCCAGGGATATAATTAGTCATTTTTGGCGAACAGGTGACATATCCGAGAAAGCCAGATAAAACAGGACTGCAGTATACATTACAAGGGTATATTCACGATATAATAGTCAACCGATTGGAAAATAATGAAATCAGAATTGAAGCTAGGTTAGCCTAGCCGCCTCATACACTGACTATTCAACAGCTTATTTCATGCACAGCAGTAGAGGTGACATTTAAAAATTATCTAATAATAACTAATTAAACCAAAATAAAGACACTAACCCGGTATAACATGGTCACCAATGACGAAATCTACAAAAGACCGACGAAAACATCAGTGAATAGTAGCTCTTATCAGGACACGGACTCTATGATGAGGGATATAAATGACTGAAAAACAGCTGCAGGTGAAGCATATTGATCGCATGTGCTCAGTGTGTGATCACATCTCTGTTTTGTTCTGATGATATGTCATTTCAAATATTCAAATATATGTAGGAAACATATATTTTAGGGTAAGAGGTGTGTGAGTTATTGCTGTCAGTCTATCACTGAATGTGTCAGAAATGTCAAAACAAAACCAACATAAATCCGCTTCTTAAGCGCCCCTCATAAAGCTTGATCCATGCTGGCATTTCTCCCCTTGGGTTTTAGGTTTTGAAAAGGGAAAAAAATTCCACCACCCCGTCCAAACTTTAAGGATAATGAGTATCAGATTTGCACAATTTGTATGAACAACGCTTTGGCTTGTTTCTCTCGCTCAAAAGCTTGACAGGCCTCCTGCGCATAGCTACGGTTGCTAAGCCACGATTGGTGAGTGGCGGTTTTTTGGGTGTGGCTTAGCGAAGGGTCAATTAACACAAAACATTCCTCAAAAGAAATTTAAACTCTTCTTTCACAAACCGAAAAAAATGCAAGATTTGGGAGGAAATTCAGGCTGTGTGAGTAGAGGAAGATCATTCTTCATAATCATTGCGAGCTCCTCGATGTAGTCTAATCTCGACGTCATCTCTCCTCTACCGTTATTCATGTGGGGAGGCTGCCGTAAATATTTAGTTGGAACAAAGCGTTACGTTTAAACTAAGTTTAGTGGTGCGTAAATTGTAACTTAGTGTTTCTTTAGGTCACTGTTGTAACTTACGCAGTGCTTTTGACGCTCATAAACGTCCTCGTGCTGCAGGTATTAGGAAGTTTGCTGAAGGTGCAGCTGGCGTGCAGCGAGGGTTTGCATCTTTAATAAACTATGACGTTCATTGAAAAGTAAGATAGATTAATAAATTCATATGAAATCCAAATTCGGGCTTAGGTATGCTTTACACTCACACTACAAGTGTATCACGCCAAAGCCCAACCGAACCGCTCTCTGGCACACCTCTTCCAACCGGGCCATGGCTGGCCAACTGAACCATGCCTTGGCCTGATTCGAAGCACTCACATTTGTCCAATGAACCCGGAAATGCTCCCAGGCTCGGTTCGAATAGCCTAGTGCAGGGGTGTCCAAACTCGGTTTTGGAGGGCCGGTGTCCTGCAAACTTAAGTTCCAAAATCAGACACACCTGGGCTAGCTAATCAAGCTCTTACTAGGCTTTCTAGAAACATTCTTGCAAGTGAGTTGAGGCAAGTTGGACACCGGCCCTCCAGGACAGAGTTTGGTCACCCCGGCCTACTGTGAGTGCACTCTAAAGGGTTAATGCGGCCAATTAATCATCAACAATAAAAATGACAAATTTGGCCTCTTCTTAAAAGGGAGAATCAGCAACAATCAGGAATACTTGAGTATATGCAATCATGGCTTTGCAATCAAAAGATGCCATTATAATGGAAGTCAATGGGGCAAAATCAGCCCCAAACATAACGAAAGGGTAGTCAATTTAAACAGTACACAAGGGTTAAACCTTTCCCTTCTAATCCGAAATTGACAAACCATCACATTTAATATTTCATTACACTTTTTTTTGCTGTACTATAAAATCCAAAGTGTACGTTTTTGTAGTTGTTCATGAACGATTGTACATTTCTTTTAAGCGTCTCATAAATCAAACCAAATAAATGCAACAAAGGAATGGCACTTGGTTAATACTTCCACGTATTAAAAGTAAGAAAGAATGTAGTGCTTTTAAAAAACAATATACTATTCAGTTCTATTATGCACAAATATAACTAAAAATACTGGACGTCCTCCCATCCGTGTTAAACAGTGGCTGGTTTTAAAAACAGAGGTTTTCATTTGGATCCCGAACAGCAGAACCTAAAGATTATCGTAAATGCTGGGTTTAGCGGGAGTGAAGAGAAGCCGCAGAAAAGGCAGCAGAATGTATGTTAGAGGTCCAGCAGAGGCGAAACCCTGCTGTGCTGCAGTTCTCATACAATCTTTTTAATGCTAGGTCTCTTAAAGCTGCCGGTGCTGCGCTGTTTCTGGACCTGGCTGGCCGAGCCGTGGCGTGTGCGTCCGCCGGCTGCCAAACCCGTGGTGGGGGATAGATCCACTTTCTCTTTATCCATTCCTGTTCCAAGCAACAACAACAACAAAAAAAGACATTTGCATGATTAGACAAATCACATCAATTGCTTAAAGCAGGGGTCACCAATCTTAGTCCTGGAGGGCCGGTGTCCCTGCAGGGTTTTGCACCAACTTGCCTCGACACACCTGACCGGGTGTTTCAAGTATACCTAGTAAGACCTTGATTAGCTCATTCAGGTGTGTTTGATTAGGGTTGGAGCAAAAATCTGCAGGACACCGGCCTTTCAGGAACAAGTTTGATGACCCCTAGCTTAAAGCATGAGCGTAAATGTCATTTAACATTAGAGTGGACAATAAACAAAAAATTTCTCATGAGCATTTTTTAAAGGGGACACACATATCAGACAAATTGTACTTATAAAGACATGTCCCCACAGTGAAAACCTTTGCTTCAATCATTACTATTGTTTATGGAATGGCCCGGGTGGGTCAGTCAGAGACTATATAGCAGACTCATAGAAAGTTACATCGGTGATGAGCATTTTTGCCGCAACTAATTTATTAATGAGTCTGCATAAACTAAATTAAAGAGAATCACTTTATTTACAGTGAATAAAATACCCTACTGACTGGAGTTCAACATTATTTGAGCAGCAGAGTACTGTGTGTAGAGTAGGTGAGATGAACTGGGAAAGCAGGCAGTGGGACAAACCACTGCGAGGAAGGGAAGGGGGGACGCAACTGTTTCTAAATGCATGTTTTTTTTTTTGTTCTCTACTTTTACACTATATGAGGTATACATTTTAGATGTTTTAGTATGCTCAGCTTGCTGGTTTGTCCATTCACACACATTTTTATCATCTCATGATTTTTTATAACAAAATCACATGACATTTTTAAATGCGCGTACTGGAATTTGTCCAGTAAAAGTGTTTCCATCGTAGTTTATGCACATCTTTTCTTATAGAATAAAAAGTTTATCCTGCTCAGTTATGCACATATGTTTATGTCCGTTTTTAAAATGTATGCACATCATGGCATTTCCATCAACCTTTTTTATACACATATCCAAGATATGCATAAAAATATATGGATGAAAACGTAGCTAATGTGTGATAGTCACCTGCTATATCACCTCCAAGTTCCAACAAACAAAAACTAGGTAGACATACCATAACATAGTCCCCAATTTTTATGTACAGATGGGTTTTCCCCCCAGTATGTACAGAAACTGCAGTGAACCTTTGCTGCTTTTGCGTACACTGTGCACATCTTCATCTGCTACAAAACTTTTAAAATGTAAACTATAAAGCACTGAAGCAGCCTCTACACTGAGCAGCACTTCCTCAAGACAGAATGCAGTCAAAGTGCAAATGCGGCATATTTGAACTGTAAATAGATGCTGACAACCTCATAGTGGTTGAGAGAAAGACACTATGGCAGAACGCTTGAATGGGGTAAGATCATTTTTCATGTTTAACTTACTTCAGAGTATAATTGTCCTGTTTGAGCTCACAAATAAACTTACAAAGTGCAAAACTAACTGAAAGCAGAGATTATCAGTAAAGCACTGAGTCTGAACTCGCTCAAATCCCTTTATTGTAGCCCTGAGATTTCTTCTAGGAATGCACATATGCTGCTATCCTGAATTTTTATGAGCCTGGATTGAGTTGCATTAACATCTTGGTGCATTGTCCAGGTACAATATCTAACGGCAGGGAATTCCATAACTGTGGCAGCTAAAAGCACTTTAAACTGTTTAAACTGACAATACATGCAGATGAATTGTTATTGGTTTTGCTAAACTAACTAACAGATTATGGGAACACCTGAGATATATAGATCAATTAAAAAAAGTAGTAACTAGTTAGTAAGTAATGTGGTACAGACCTGGTGCATGTTGGGAGGTGGCCAGCGAGGTCATTGAATTTGAGAGGTTGAGGTTGGCAGTGATGCTGAGCTGGCTCTGCACAGGTGGAGGGTATGGAGAGGTGGGTGTCCGCAGACCCTCCTCGCTTGTTTCCTCATCAATGCCCGGAAGATAGGTGTCAATCAGTGCATCCAGAAACTTGACTATCAGCTCTGCATAGTCTGGGAACTGAGTTTGCTGTGGAAAAAAGTGAGCAGCTTAAGAATACAGTCGGTTAATCTTCCAATTAAAACAGCAGTGAAATGGATGGTGTTTATTAGAGCTGGGACCATATATCAATGTATTGTGATTCAGTGAGCGATTCTTAGATTTTTGAATGCTATGTAACTAATTGTAAGCTTAGTTTTTAACAGCAGAAAGTGCTCTAGGTTAGATTTTAATAGAAGACTGTGTTCTAGGTTAGTTTTTAATAGCAGATTGTGGTCCAGGTTAGATTTTTAACAGCAGATGGCGCTCTAGGTTTGTTTTTAACAGCAGATGGTGATCTAGGTTTGTTTTTAACAGCAGATGGCGCTCTAGGTTTGTTTTTAACAGCAGATGGTGATCTAGGTTTGTTTTTAACAGCAGATGGCGCTCTAGGTTTGTTTTTAACAGCAGATGGCGATCTAGGTTTGATTTTAACAGCAGATGGCGATCTAGGTTAGATTTTCACAGAAGACTGTTCTAGGTTAGATTTTCACAGAAGACTGTTCTAGGTTAGATTTTCACAGAAGACTGTTCTAGGTTAGATTTTCACAGAAGACGGTGCTCTAGGTTTGATTTTAACAGCAGATGGTGCTTTGGGTTTGTTTGTTTTTAACAGCAGATGGCGCTCTAGGTTTGTTTTTAACAGCAGATGGCGCTCTAGGTTTGTTTTTAACAGCAGATGGCGATCTAGGTTTGATTTTAACAGCAGATGGCGATCTAGGTTTGATTTTAACAGAAGAATGTTCTAGGTTAGATTTTCACAGAAGACTGTTCTAGGTTAGATTTTCACAGAAGACTGTTCTAGGTTAGATTTTCACAGAAGACGGTGCTCTAGGTTTGATTTTAACAGCAGATGGTGCTTTGGGTTTGTTTGTTTTTAACAGCAGATGGCGCTCTAGGTTTGTTTTTAACAGCAGATGGCGCTCTAGGTTTGTTTTTAACAGCAGATGGCGCTCTAGGTTTGTTTTTAACAGCAGATGGTGATCTAGGTTTGATTTTAACAGAAGACTGTTCTAGGTTAGATTTTAAGAGAAGACTGTTCTAGGTTAGATTTTAACAGAAGACTGTTCTAGGTTAGTTTTTTTAACAGCAGATGGTGCTCTAGATTTGATTTTAACAGCAGATGGCGCTTTAGGTTTGTTTCTAACAGCAGATGGCGCTCTAAGTTTGTTTTTAACAGCAGATAGTGCTCTAGGTTTGTTGGTTTTTAACAGCAGATAGCGCTCTAGGTTTGTTTCTAACAGCAGATGGCCCTCTAGGTTTAATTTAACAACAGATAGTGATCTAGGTTTGATTTTAAGAGATGACGGAGCTCTATGCTAGTTTTAACAGCAGACAACGTTTCTAAGATTCTCTAACGTTTCTCCGGTGCTCTAGGTTACATTTGAACAAAAAAGGGCACTCAAAACTAGGGCACTTTTAACAGCAGATGGCACTCTAGATTAGATTTTAACAGCAGATGGCACTCTAGAGTAGATTTTAACTGAAGATAACACTCTAAGCTAGTTTTTAACAGCAGATGGTGCTCTAGGCTAGTTTTTACGAGCAGATGGCATTCTAGGCTGGATTATAACAGCTGATGGCATTCTAGGTTAGATTTTAACAGCAAATGGTGTTCTAGGCTAGTTATTAACAGCAGACAATGTTCTAGTTTAGATTTTAATAGCACATTGCACTCTAGGTTAGACTTGAAAAGCAGATGGTGTTCTAGGCTAGTTTTAAACCGCAGATGGTGCTCTAGGCTAGTTTTTTAACAGCAGATGGTGCTCTAGGCTATTTTTTAACAGCAGATGGTCCTCTAGGCTAGTTTTAAACTGCAGAAGGTGCTTTACACTGGCGCTTTAGGGAAGTATTTAATTACTTGCAACGTGACTTTAATTCCATGGGATTAATGTAAAAACAGCTCACTATGAACACTCACTATGCTTGATCTTTTTCATTAAATCATTCATTCATTTATTTCTTTTATTTTCGGCTTGGTCCCTTTATTAATCTGGGGTTGCCACAGCTGAATGAACTGCCAACTTGTCCAGCATATGTTTTAAGCAGCAAATGCCCTTCCAGCCGCAACCCATCTTGGAAACACTCATACACTTCCATTTACACACATAATCCACGGACAATTTAGCTTACCAAATTCATCTGTACGGCATGTCTTTGGACTGTGGGGGAAACCGGAGCACCCAGAGGAAACCCACACGAATATGGGGAGAACATGCAAACTCCACACAGAAATTCCAACTGGCCCAGCCGAGGCTCAAACCAGCGACCTTCTTGCTGTGCTGCCCCCATTAAATCATTACATTTATTAATTAAGGATTGTTTAAGTCCAAGTGGTATGTGCAGGGATTGGCAGAGTGGCTGTTTGTAAAGCACACAGCGCCATCTGGTGGTTAAAAAAAGCTTAGATTTGATTTATTGTCCCAGCCCTGTTTTATATGTTGCTTTCCAAGAACAAATTCAGTGCTAAATACCTTCGAAAAAGGACCGGCAAACCTCCAGAGTCCATTAAACCCAAAAGCTGTGAAGGCAATAAAAAATGTTATGCTCACCTATTCCTTAATTACTCTGAGTTAATTAATGATCACATGTGAGGTGTTTTACTTTGCAGGTAGGACGGTTGGTACTGAGGTGGAGACTCTTCATGATAAACTACACTCTGAACAATTCCATGAACTGGATTCAGAAGATGTGGGTCCTGACACAGCGACAACAACGTATTAATCTTAGAGTCCAGAAGATTATGACTGAAAAAAAGCAAAACACAATGAAATTTCAGCATTTATATCCAGTCTAATGGAGAGTCAGTGGTTTGCAGTTGAACTTACACAACAGGAAAGACTTTTGGGAAGACAACACTGGCCTCGGCTAGAAACTCATACAAGATCCTCTGCTCAAATTCATCTGAAGTGTTTTTCACCTGAGTGGCCTGAAAAATGATGCAACAGTACAGAAAAATCAAAATTCTGAGGATAAACAAATGTCTAAAGGAGCTGGCAGATGGGGGGCAGGAAGTGACACAAAACACTTAAGAGGAACAGAAAATCTATTACAAATTTAAATTATAAATGCAAAGCTGAGCTGTTTGAGGAACTGAAATAAAAAAGTTCCTTCTTAATTTTGTGAAAAAGAAATATCGGTTGCACTTTATTTTAAAGGGACAGTTCACCCAAAAATCTAAAATACCTCATCATTTTCTCTTCCTTAATCTTTATGAGTTTCTTTATTCTGCTGAACACAAAAGAGATGTTTTGAAGAATGCTGAAAACCTGTAACCATTGACTTCCATAGTAGGAAAAACAAACACTATGAAAGTCAATGGTAACAGGTTTCCAACATTTTCGTGTTCAACAGCATAAAGAAACTCAAAAAGGTTTTAAACAAGGGAGAGTAACTGATGACAGAATTAAATTTTTGGGTGAACTATGAACTACTTTCATTAAATCATTACATTTATTAATTAGAATTATTTTACATTATGGAAGTCAATGGTTACAGGTTTCCAACATTTTTAAAAATATTTTCTCTTGTGTTTAGCAGAAGAAATAAACTCAAACAAACAAACAAGTAAAGAGAGGGAAAATGACGACAGAATTTAAATATTTAGGTGAACTATTAACTAGTATTTACATTTGCCTTGCCTTGTATGTAAATTGATAATTATGTACCTTCCCCTCTTTTTGTTATTATTGTCTTTTATTTCATTTTCTTTTCTCCTTTAATCTTTCTTTTTAAGTGATGTGAAGTGATTTTGTTGTATAATCAGACTGTACATGCTGGTTCTTGTTGTTATATATTTACACATGTTGTTACATATGTCACATGCATTGCTCAGGTGTGATTTTTTTTCCCAGACCTCAACAGTGTAAAAATCTTGATGCTTCTGTGGATCTTGTCCATCTAATCTGATCTTTATTTTGTATGTTCTATTGGATTCAAGTCAGGTGATTGGCTGGGCCATTCTACAGCTTGATTTTCTTTCTCTGAAAGCATTTGAGAGTTTACTTGGCTGTGTTTTGGATCATTGTCTTGCTGAAATGTCCAGCCTGGTTTCATCTTCATCCTCCTGCTAATGTAGATGTTGGACTGAAGCAGCTAATATATATATTTACACTGAGGAAGAGCGGAGGATTGCTGAAGAACTACTGAGAGATTTCAGCTGCTGTCTGGGCTTCCACTGCCTTTCTACACCTCCCTTTCTTCATGTGTTCAATCCACTAAATCCATTATCTATTTAACCAAATGATTCAGTTATATATATATATATATATATATATATATATATATTTTTTTTTTTTTTTTTCTCTCCATATTTTAAACCTTTATTGGGTTATTATCAATAACTCAACCAGTTGGGTTAAAAATTTAGAATTTTTACTGATCAACTGATAATAAATAGCTGTTTTTTAAGCGTGCATAATGTTGTTTTTATGTTTTAAAGTTTATTTAAGCTCTAAAGTTCTATTTCTTTTTGTCGAATTACCTCTCCCTGTCAATTTTGTTTTGTAACTGTTTCACCAGCACGCTTAATTAATGATGACACAAATGCGCTCTTAATTGCTGATCTACGTATATTAAACAGATAAAATGCTTTCTCTACCTCCTGTGTTCATCTCTACTGTTTCTTTTTGAGGAAATGATACACATATATACAACTACTGAGAGATTTCAGCTGCTGTCTAGGCTTTCACCGCCTTTCTACACCTCCCTTTTTTCATGTGTTCAATACTTTTTTCCTGTGTCATTTCATATTTTTACACAGAACTTCACTTGTAAGCTAATCAGTTTTGATTTCTTTACATATATGGATTTATTTGGTTGTTATCAACATCTGGTGAAAAATTTCATGTCATCAGCACCTTTAGAAATATGCTTTCTGAGAAAAATAGTGACGTGTTGAATGCTTGTTTCACCCACTGTATATTGTACTCATTTTGCATGTAGTTACTTCTTTTTTAAATAATTTCTTTAAAGAATCCATATTATGGGTTTTTGAAAATTCCCCTCCATGTAGTGTGTAACACAGCTCTAAGTGAAGTGAAGTATCCAGCTAAGGCTTAAATCTGTAAGAATACAGTGTTTAAAACTGTTGATTCATCTATAAAAGAGTCGACTCATAGTGCTTCAAACGAGTCGCCTTAAAACCGATTTATTAGGTGTTTCGCCATGACGTACGAACGAAACCAAGTTATTCACGTGCACGCGCAAACCCGGGAGATTTCAAACCTGAGGCCCCGCCCTCTGACGCAGAAACCCAGACACACACGCACACCCACAAACACACGCACACAAACATGCCGGTCGATTGAAGTCACACTGCAGATGGATATATTGAGTCTCTACCCAAACATGAAACCTCAGCATTATAGCCAAGCAGTTGGAAACTTCTGGAAGCTACATGCTACAAAGAATACTTCATCTGAGTTTGTTAAAGGAAGGATCAGTAAAGAGTAACTGATGGACGTCAGGATGGGTTTCTTCCATTTCTCAAGTGTGAGTACGAGCGGTTAAAGTTGTTGCCTCGTTGACTCTAGCTTGCAAATGTATTTAGTTGTGATTTGTTACTTGTAACCGCGTGTACTGTATCAGGTTAACTGGCTATATTCTCTTATCGCGTGCAAAGTCACGTTAAAAACGCGACGCGTGCTGCTTTGTTTATGGAGCTCCGTGCTAGAGTTCTGCTCCCGCGATTTATTCGGAAATTTATTCCCGCGCCGCAGAAATCTGGCGCGGGGACAGCCGCGGGAATAAATTTCCGAATAAATCGCGGGAGCGGTCGGTAACGGGTTTAATTTGGGACGGGAGCGGGCTGTCTAGCAATATCACGGATATTGCTATGCGAATTAGAAAGAGAGAGTCTGCTTGGTGCTTGTGTGTGTGTTAGTGCGCACGAGAGAGAGCGAGAGAGATAGAGATAGAGAGAGAGCGAGAGAGATAGAGATAGAGAGAGAGCGAGAGAGAGCGAACGAGCTTTGTGTGCTTTGTGCTGTGTGTGTGTGTTTATACAGACAGCTTGGCTGTCTGGACTGTATACTGGGTGATTTTTGGTTGTGTTCTCCTCCGCTCTAGCGGGATCGGGCGCGGCGGGCAGAAAACGGAGCAAGTTCTCAGGCTAAAACCTGGCGGGTGCGGGCGGGAGCGTTGTCGTCCGGAGGTGTGTTTGTGTGTGGTATGGCGAGTACACGACTGTCTCCTTCGTTCGGTTATCCGTGGCACTATCCACTCGCCATAGTGTGGCAGCTAAAATCCACGCCTACACTATCGAGCGTGTATGAACTGTGATTACTTTTTATATTGCTAATTAGCTATTGGCCATTTCACTCTCTGACTGAAGGCAGTCGACCAATCGCGACAGACTGTCATCGGTCCAATCAGCGCAGATTAGCTTCGCGCTAAGGAGGGGTTTGGGAACAAATGAATCACTGGACGATTCATACAGGAGTCGCTGGGATAATTAGGTAAAAATAAATGCAGATTATAAGACCATGAAAGTGTTTTTTGACCTTGCATGCATATTAGACTGTTGTTGGAGACCCTTACAACCAAGATATGACCCTATTTCATGTATAATATGGGCTCTTTAATTACTCTGTTGACCCATCTTACACCTTAACCCACCATTAAACCTAACCTTACCACCAAACCTATCCCTAACCCTACCTGCAACCCAGCCCCACAAGTCTTTAATTCAATATGAACACAATAAGTTTACTGGACTTATTTTTGATGTAGGTACATAGTAGTTAATGTGCCTTAAAATAAAGTGCACCCAAAACATCTTACCAGCACAGTCAGAAGCAGTGCTTGGATTTTGGGATCTGTGAGAACTTCTTCATTAAGCAGGACATTGGACTCGGACACAGAAACCTTCCGCAAGTGGTGATGGGAGATTCTTGGGGTTTCTTGAAACAGGAAACAAAAGTTATAAATGAATGCAGACAGAGAATCACTTCACTTCTTTTTTTTAACCCCCTCACCGATTTCATATTCGTTTTCAGCCACTCTCCTCATCTTGGGTGGCGTTGTGATACCAGTCTCTATTTCAGGCCTCTTTGGTGCTTTGCTGTCTGATAACAGGAGGTCAAAGCTTTTTCTGGTGCCTAAAAAAAGTTCCAGAACATTAAAACCAACTACTGTACATCTACAAAGTCTACATGCAGCACTTTACATACCCAGAAGCTTCTTGGTGTTGACTTGAGAGGGTTGTCCCATGTCCAAGCTCATTGATTTGCGTGTTCGTGGGCTGATCTGCCCCATTATGGGGAAATGGGCCACCAAGTATCGCTCTGAGACTTTCGGGGATGCCCACAGCTCGTTTTCCCGCAACGTTCTGCATGACAAAGATCATACTTTATGAACTAGAGTGCAAAAGGTATTACAGTGGATTCCCCTTAATATGCTGCCTTATTAGTACCTGCCGCTTGGATCCTCGTGATGTACAGAATACGGATCCATTTGAACATTCTCCATTGTGACATCAGAGAAAAGCAACAATTTTCTGTGTTTCAGACTGCAGCGGCTGCGCACTTCCTCTGACACCGGGAGAAGCGCTGGAAAAATAGACACAAACATCACTCACCATACTGGAATTTATGGCACAACACTACAGGTAAATTGGGTCAAATAAACTAACACTGATCACATTATTTACCTAATTAATTGAATACAGAATAATAATAATACTACTAATAATAAACAAATAATAATAAATAAATTAAAAATATATAGATTTTTAAAACAATCATTTATTTACATTTATTTGTATGAAATTTTATTTTAATGTTTTGATTTTTGCTATTTTTTAAATGTTATTTAATATTTTTCCCTAACATATTCCCTAACATTCCGCAATTTAACTTTTGAAAATCATATATCCAATGTCACAAAAACTGCCTTCTTTAATCTGTGAAATATCATTAAGTTACGAAGTATGCTATCCATCTCAGATGCAGAAAAGCTAGTCCATGCTTTTATGACTTCTAGGCTGGACTACTGTAATTCTCTGTTTGTTGGCTGCCCAGCATCCATTATTAACAAACTTCAGCTAGTACAAAATGAAGCAGCCAGAGTTCTTACCAGGTCTAGAAAATATGATCATATCACCCCGATTTTCCCCTCCTTACACTGGCTGCCTGTTAAGTTTTGTATTGAATTTGAAATATTGCTTCTTACCTATAAAGCTTATATATAATATATAATAATCTAGCTCCTGTTTATCTAACCAACCTTCTGTCTTGCTACAATCCAACTCACTCTTTAGGTTATCAAAACTCAGGGCTTCTGGTAGTACCTAGAATAGCAAAGTCGAGTAAAGGAGGTCGAGCCTTCTCATTTATGGCTCCTAAACTTTGGAATAGCCTTCCTGATAATGTCCGAGACTCAGACACACTCAATTCAAAACTAGATTAAAAACCTATCTTTTTAGTAAAGCATACACTCAGTGCATAATTTAGCGGTGTGATACATGAATGTGCTCCACGCAGGTTTCTGCATCTCGTTTATATACACTATGAACCGCAGCTACGCTAATTATTCTCTTTATTCTCTGTTTCCACCTGGGAATATTCATCCCGAGGCCCACAGACTATGCAGCGCCATTGATTCGATCCATGACCAGTGACGAGATGATCCCAAGGAATCTTATATAATATAAATTTGGCCTACTAACTTTTAAATATTATTGTAAGTTATTTTGTAAGATCAGCACCAGATTTGGCTTCAGTACTGACTAAACTAATGTATATGCACAAAAAAATATTTTACAGCATCCTAAAGAAAATATATATTTAAATGACAGATTTGTAGGGGGTGTCCTCATATATTCTGAGCACTATATATATTTATGTAACAAAATAGTTTTGAATAATTTTCTTTCATTTGCATAATGAATATATACAATACAAACAAACAAACTTGCAATTAATCTTTGCCCAGCATTAAAATAGTTATACTTCAATTAAAATTGGGCATTAATTCAAGAAATACATGGTATACTAATTCGAACATGTTAAGCAAAAAATAAAATAGTTACCATAACTGTTAAGCTCTGTGTATTCAAGTGCTGCTGAAGTGGAGACTTATTGCCCAGAGCAAATAATAATAATAATAATTTTAAGAAAGGACTGATAAAGTGCAACAAAACACACAAATATATTTTGGATATTAACTTTCCATGTAACTAAAAAACCCATCTAAAATCTCAAAATTGACAACAAAAATGAGTGTTTTCCCTTGTAGGGTCTCGCCAAATAACTAATGTGAAGACATAAGATGTTATAATCCATTACCTGCCAGATACGCCACACTCTGTGTGTTCACCTCAAATTTATCACAGTTCTGGTGTTTTCCTACTAACGCCAACAGCATGTGCAGGATGCGGATGGTACGTGCCACTGTGGTGGGGGAGGGGTGTCTGAACCCTGGCAATACAAATCAGAAAAATGATCAAACACACACATTTAAACATTCATTTATTAATTTTCCTTCAGCTTAGCCCCTTATTTGTCAGGAGTTGTCACAGTAGAATGAACCGTCAACTATTCCGGCATATGTTTTATGTAGCAGATGCCCTTCCAGCCGCAACCCAATACTGGAAAACACCCATGTACACTCATTCACACATACTCGTACAATACAGACAATTTAGTTGATTCAATTCAGTTATAGCGGATGTCTTCGGACTGTAGGGGAAACCAGAGCACGCAGAGGAAACCCTCGCCAACATGAGGAGAACATGCAAACTCCCCACAGAAATGCAAACTGGCCCAGCCGGGACTCGAATCAGCGAAACTTCTTGCTGTGAAGTGCAGTGCTAACCACTGTGCCACCATGCCGCCCCACGTTTGAACATTTTAGCATAAAACCCACTCGTTTACCTTTCAACAGGTGACCGACCAAAGCAAAATTGAAGTTGGAGTTAAAATTGAGGCCAACAAAGTGGTCCATTTGTTTACAGTGCCATTCCAGAGGCTGACGGATCTCCATAAACACCTCCTCAGGACTCTGAAAGACAGGACAAATCCTTTATTTGCTTTCACTATTTAACTAAATGTTTATTTAAATATTTTTGTGTAGCTATTTTGATAATGCCCTTCAAAAAACTAATTAAAATACAATCATTACATTTTGAAATGGGAGTGTGAGATTTTTTTTGTTTATGATTATATGATAATTGTTTTGAACAATGTGTAATTTGTCATACTGAGTATCACTTGTGACTTATTTTGAAAAAAAAAACGACTAAAACTTCTTAGAGAATGACCTTAAAATGTATAAAAGGGAAAAACAGTTGATTATACAAGCAAGAGCTTTTTTTCAAATACAGGAAGTGAGCATTATGAATGCAAATGTGATGTTAATTTTATTAAGCAATTCAATAAACTGTACTAAATATTACTGTCACCATCCCACCAATGGGACGCTACTATTTAATTCCTATTATTACAAGCTATTTATAGTTGAAAATAATGAAAACATTTTTATGGATGATTTTAGAGACTAAATTCAAATCAAATATTACCAAAGTACCAAAACACTTCAGTATTTTATGTCTACTTTATAAGCATTGTCAAATGTATGAAAAAATATGGGTCACGTTCCACAAAACATACGGGGTGCACTTGTATGGTCACCAATGGAAACTCTAGTGGTGATGTCTGCTACTGCGGCCAAACAAAATCTTACTGAAAGCAAATTTTTTGAGATACCAACTTTAAATTTGGAGTATGCTTTTTTTCAGATATTTAGTTTTGATTTAATGTTAACTTTAGGCTAAAATTGGTTTAGTAAAATACCCATTATATGTAATACAGTGGTCCCTCGCCATAATCCAGTTCACCTTGCAGATTTTTTATATAATTTGATATGCTTTTTTTAAATTTTTAATGCATTATGTTCTGTGCCTGATTGGTTGTAGACCACTGTCAACCAATCTCCTCTGTGTCTCCTGTACAGTACAGAATAAGTTCAGCTGAATTTACAGAACTCTTCAGTCACTAGCAGTGCTGTACTGTATGTTTGCAAGTTTTCTCCCCAACCCTATAATGTTGACGAAACGTTCTGCACTTTCAAAGGCACCTGCGGCAACACCCAAAAGGCAGGAGAAGATGTTAACAATCACAAAAAACGTGTGATTTCTGGACATGCTTAAGGAAGGTAGAAGTTTATCGAGTGTTTATACAAGAGAGAAAAGTGTGAAAATGTAAATGATTGTCTGAGTAAAGTGCATAAAGTGTGTAGTGAGAGGTTTTACAGCCTTAAAACATCTATAATAATTGTAAAAAATAAAGCTGACTTCTCTGCGGATTTACCACAAATTAACGAGAGACCACTGTATAGAAAGATACCTTTATTGTTTAATTATTTTCATAAACATAAATGCATATAACCTTTGTTTTATATGTTTTAAACAGTTTTTTTTACTTCAGCTACAATCTGACATCTGTCTTCTTTAAAAAAAAGTCCAAGCTTAAATCTCTGCACCTGCACTGAAGATTGGCAATCAATGAAGTTGAACATGCCATTTTTATCTCTATGTTCAAAAAGTGAGAATGGCAGTTAAGGCGTTAATACTGAGTGATTAACATTTTAGATGTAACGAGTAGAAGGTGGCTAATAATTGGTTGTTTCCCATTTTAGAGTGTTGTCCTTCACTGTACCTTGTCGTTGAAGACTCTCAGGCTATCGAGTGTGTGTAGGTTCTGTTCAAGCAGAGCAGTTCCTGCAGAATACAGATTCACCTCATCCAACTGCAGTACGGCCACAGCGACCCAGAACAGAGCTTTGTGCATCGCTGAGTCCTGAATGACGACGCACAGTTAAACAAAGTCCACGCTTACACACTCGCATATACAAGGACACTGTGACTGGATACCTTGTTGAGCAAAGGTTGTAGTTTAGTGAGAGCAATGACTGTGGCTTCGATTAGCACCTGGCTGTTACAGTTATCGGGACCCTTCAGGCAGCTCTCCAAACCCTGAGGAAAAACATCAACAAAACATCTTAAATCAGGGTTTCTGCAGGTTTCAAATGTAAGACTTTTTAAAGGTGACCTGTTGTGCCCCTTTTTACACAAAGTATACAAATGATGTTTTATAACTGTTTAAAACTGATTTTTTAGGCTTTGATCCAAATTCTGTCATTTTGGTGACTGTCACTTTAAATTCAAATGAGATTGTGTCGTTTTCAAAAAAGGGCGGAGCTACAAATGCCCATGTGTCAGCATAGTAGCAGATTTAAAAACAAGACTGATATTCTATGCTAATGAGGAAGAGACTGTCACTAATGGGCGCGGTTTTCCATCTCTGATGACACGTACAAAAGGAGAATGTCAATCAAAGTGTTACTGCAGACTTTTTATCGAGTGTGATTATGATTTTTTTTTATTAATAAATGTTTACCATTAGAAGATGGTTATATTCCACTGGTTGTATATACCATGCAACTGTTAAAACTTTTTTAAAAAAGTGCTTTTTTTGAACATTTTGTACAATTTTACTGTAAATATATCAAAACTCAACTTGATTAGTAATATGCATTGCTGAACCCTTTGAGAATTTTAATTAAAGCATTTAGATTTCTTGAACTCTTTAACCCTTTTAAGATATTTAATTAGTTGAACCTTAGCCAAATATTGTCCTGTCCCAACAAACTATACATCAATGGAACAAATTATTTTTTTTTTCACGTTTCAGAAAAATGTAAATTGTTCCAAAAGTGACTGGTTTCGTGGAGGGTCAAATATGTTCAGATCAAGATCTCGTACTTTATTATTTGCCAAAGCAGAGCAACAACAGTATACAACAGGGGTCACCAATCTCGGTCCTGGAGGGCCAGTGTCCCTGCAGGATTTAGCTCCAACCTGCTTTAACACACCTGCCTGGATGTTTTAAGTATACCTAGTAAGGCCTTGATTAGCTTGTTCAGGTGTGTTTGATTAGGGTTGGAGCTAAAATATGTAGGACACCGGCCCTCCAGGAACAAGTTTGGTGACCCCTGGTATACAATTAAGATTAAGTAATGATTGCAAGCTCATTTTCAAAGCTAGCCCATAGTTGTCCCATACTAGCCTAGAGTGCCATTTGAGGTTAAAAACTAGCCTAGAGCGCATTCTGTTGTTTAATATTAGCCTAAAATGCTGCCTGCTGTTAAAAAATAGCCTAGAGCACCATCTGCTTGTGAAAAATAGCCTAGAGCCCCATTTGCTGCAAAAAAGTAGCCTAAAGCCCATTCTTTTGGAAAAAAAAAGCTAGCCTAGAGCTCTATCTGCTTTTAACACCTAGCCTAGAGCCCTATCTGCTGGTAAAAACTAGCCTAGAGCTCTATTTGCAGTTAAAAACTAGCCTAAAGCCCCATTTGCTGTTAAAAACTAGCCTAGAGCACCATCTGCTGTAAAAAAAACTAGCCAAGAGCACCATCTGCTAGTAAAAGCTAGCCTAGAGAACCATCTGCTGGAAAAAAAATAGCCTAGAGTGCCATCTGTTGGTAAAAGCTAGCCTACAGCGCCGTCTGCTGTTAAAAACTAGCCTAGAGCATCATCTGCTAATAAAAACTAGTCTAGAGCACCATCTGCTGAAATAAACTAGCCTAGAGCGCTATCTGCTGTTAAGGCTATCCTAGAGTGCCATTTGCTGTCACAAACTAGCCCAAAGCCCCATTTCCTGTTAAAAACTAGCCTGGAGTGCCATTTGCTGTCAAAACTAGTTCAGAGTGCCTTCTGCTGTTTAAAATGAGCCTAGAATGCTGCCTGCTGTTAAAAAGTAGCCTAGAGCGTCATTTGCTGGTTAAAAGCTAAAAGTAGAAAATGACTGGTTTTGTGGATGGTCAAAAATGTTTAGATCAAGATCTCACACTTTACTATCTGCCAAAGCAGAGCAACAACAGTATACAATACACTTTATGTATTGAAGGCAAGTTCATTTTCAAAGCTAGCCCAAAGTTGCCCACAGCAACAGTAGTTGCTTGAGAGGAAGGTGTTGTGTTTTAAGATGGATGTTTTCTAACCCGGTCGATGCTGAGGAGAAGGCTGGCCTTGCTCAAGATCCGTATGATCTGTTTCATCTGCGTATGTGTGACTCGTTTGCTGATGCAGCCGAATACCACAAGTGCCCGTGGTTGGAGGGATGGATTATATTGAAATGCAAACCTGCACAATAAATGCACATTTTCATATTCATCAAAAATATGTCTTGAACACATGCTTGTGTATAGAGCTGTGGTGAAAAAATGTTTAGTGCTGTTAAAAATTAGCCTAGCACCTACTGTACTGTTAACAACTGGCCTAGAGCACCATCTGTTGTTAAAAACTAGCCTAGAACACCATTTGCTGGTAAAAACTAGCCTAGAATGCTATCTGCTGGTGAAAGCTGGCCTAGAGCGCCACCTGCTGTTTAAAACTAGCTTAGCACACTGTCTGGTGTTTAAAACTAGCTTAGAGTGCTGTGTGCTGTTTAAAACTAGTCTAGAATGCTACCTGCTGGTAAAAGCTAGCCAAGAGTGCCATCTGCTGTTTAAAACTAGCTTAGTGCACTGTCTACCATATAAAACTAGCCTAGAGCAATGTCTACTGTTTAAAATTAGCCTAGAATGTTGCCTGTTGTTAAAAACTAGCCTAGAGTGTCATCTGCTGTTTAAAAACTAGTTTAGAGCGCCATCTACTGTTTAAAACTAGCCTAGAGCGCTGTCTACCGTTTACAACTAGCCTAGAGCGATGTCTACCGTTTACAACTAGCCTAGAGCGCTGTCTACTGTTTAAAACTATCATAGAGCGCTGTCTGCTGTTAAAAACCAGCCTAGATTGTACTCTGCTGGTAAAAGCTGGCCTAGAGTGCCATCTGCTGTTTAAAACTAGCTTAAAGCGCCATCTACTGTTTAAAACTAGCCTAGAGCACTGACTACCATTTACAACTAGCCTAGAGCGCAGTCTACTGTTTACAACTAGCCTAGAGCGCTGTCTACCATTTAAAACTATCCTAAAGCGCTGTCTGTTGTTAAAAACCAGACTAGATTTTCATCTGCTGGTAAAAGCTGGCCTATAGTGCCATCTGCTGTTTAAAACTAGCTTAGAGTCTGTCTACCATTTAAAACTAGCCTAGAGCGCTGTCTGTTGCTTAAAACTAGCTTAGAATGCTGCCTGCTATAAAAAACTAGCCTAGAGTACCATCTGCTGGTAAAAGCTAGCCTATAGCGCTGTCTACTGTTTAAAACTAGCCTAAACTGTAGCCTGCTGTTAAAAACTACCCCAGAGCACCATTTGCTGCAGTTTAGAGCTTGCCTAGAGCGCCATCTACTGGTAAAAAAGTAGCCTAGAGCACCATCTGCTGTTAAAAACTAGCCTAGAGTGCCATCTACTGGTAAAAACTTACCTAGAGCACCATCTGCTGGTAAAAGCAAGCCTAGAGCGATGTCTACTGTTTAAAACTAGCCTATAATGCAACCTGCTGTTAAAAACTACCCTAGAGTACTATTTGCTGCTGTTAAAAACTAGCCTAGAGCGCCAACCGCTGTTTAAAAACTAGCCTAGAGCACCATCTGCTGGTAAAAACTAAGCTCGCAATCAATTAAAGATATATAGCAGTTTGAAAATCTCAAAAAAAAAAAAAAATGTAGAACTGATTTCTTGAACCATTTTTTCACCACAGTTCTACTAGTGTACTTCAGCTTTAGTTTATTAATAAATATTTCAAAATGTATCAGTTTAAAACAGCGATCAAAGTCAGAAATTATATTTTAAAAATACTCAAAGTTGTGTATATTGAGTAAGGCTACAGTGTTAGTAGCGTGTAATCTAAAAACCTCTGGTCATTGCATTTATAAGCATGCATATGATAAGTATAATATTGATGTAAAAACAATGCGGAAAAAATATGATGCAATGTGGACAGACAAAAATCATGCCTTACAAACATGACAGATTTAGTTTAATCATGCAATATCACAATCTGTCAGGCACTTTTGTTCTTCCTGCTTTTATTTTTGTCAAGAGCCACAATTAATATCTGATCCAGGTGTACATACTTCTGCGCCAGATCGGTCCACTGGTCTAGCCATTTACAGCCTGGAATGTCCCTCATGCAAGCCTAAAACAGAGAGGGGAAAAACCCAATCAAACCCTTTCACACAGTGCATGTACATGATGATTTACTACAGACAGCAATATATAGAGAAATGAAACAGACAGAAGCACAGTTGATCTTTACTTTAGTGTCAAAAGTATAAAAAAACAGTGAATAGTACATACTGAACAATTTCCAGTAAATGCAGCAGTTAATGGTAACACTTTTTAAAAAAGAACACAGTAAAACTATGGCAGAGCTGAGGTTTAATATTAGTCTGTAAATATATGAATAGGCCTGTCAGGATAAATACATTTTATTGTGAGAAACAGACCTTGACGTTAACTTTTTGATCACCAGCCACTGTGGCTAGTAGTTTCGAACGTTACTAGCCACTCGCCATTTTAACTAGCCACAATTTCGTTGTTGGGCAAATACATTTTTTGTATGTACAAAATTTGACTTTGGCATGAAAAAATTACTTGATTAGGATTTTGTGTTATGTCCACATGACACCTCGTTCATTTCACTTTTTGTGTTGTGTGTGACCTTGCTCAATAAACATGAGCAAATGGGTTGTGGTTTCATAGTGTCACATTGCAATTCATTTTTATTTCATATGACTTTTCAGGGCTCAACACTAAGGATTTACCAAACCGTTTTCTAGCCACACCAAAAAAAAAAAAAAAAATATATATATATATATATAAATATATATATATATATATATATATATATATATATATATATATATATATATATATATATATATATATATATATATTTCTTAGCCGAAAATAACTATAAGCAAAAGAAAGCAGGTGAAAAACATACTATGCGCAATAATGAAAAGATGATCACATGAAAAGTTAAAGCAAAAGCAACCTGCTGCTTGCAGTCTTTTAAAAAATCTGGAGCTCTTGAAAGCCGCAGGAATGTGTGTGCACTTTTTGTCCATTCTCTTTAAAAGAAAATTGATTGCACCAGTTGCATTTCAGGCAAGGATGCTTTGTGCAAAGAGCCGTTTATTTTTAAACTTTTAAAGCCCTCATCAGTGTGTCAGGATCGCCTGTGTGTCAAAGTGTGCACAATCATCCTTTCATCAGGTATTCACCTGCTTTATTTTACTCACACAAACACAGTTATTATTGACATCTCTCACGCTGGCCCCTCATTGGATGATCCTTATAGTCGAACTCTGCTTTTTAAGAAAACTACAATTTAAAAATGAACTTCAACCAGTCAAAGTGGCTAGTGGAAGTGACTGTCTAACCTGCCACAGCTAAAATCTACCCGCATTTGGCAGGTGTTAATATCAAGCCCTGGTGGAAAAACAGTGACCGAAACTGGGATAAGTGTAATTGTTGTAATTTTAAGACAATTTATGCCATTGAATGAATGTATATGTAGGGTTTTACATTTTTTTTGTAATATGTAGGGACACGTTTTGCAATTTGACATTAAAAAAAGTAAAAAATGTTATGCCTAAGGCTTTGCCAAAGTTGAATATAATTGTCCTTGTTAAAGGCTTTAATGTTCAGCCCTCTCAAAAATATTGTCGAAAAAAAAAAGAGAAATAAGACTCTGATTGGTTTTATGCAGGTTATGCTAAAAACACACCCATAACCTAAGAGAATAAGTATTCGGACGCGCCTTTAATGATTTTGCACCACGTGATTTAGATTTTGCGCCTAGATCGTTAAAATAGAGCTTTGTAAATATTGACTTTACGGTTATTTCAGATAGTGTGCAATTTTGCACTATTACTTTTCTAGATACAAATGGATTGCAGTTTTGAAACCAAGCTTATTTGGACAACTTTGTCCAAACTGTCAAATGAAGTGATGACCTTCAGAGCCAATTACAATCATATCTATTGAGCTCAACAGCAATCAAATGTTGGTGTGAAATATGTACATGTTTTTTCAGTATGTACATGTATTGGTACCGAATTAATTTACAAAATGTGAAAATTAAACACAATTAGCTAAACTGTTGGCATCATTCTTTTTTTTACGTAAAAATGGAGAGTGATACATATATTGCATCATGATATGCAAATATATTGATTATTGTGACGCATGTAATGAGCATTTTGACCAATGACCGACAGTAGACAACCAGCATGACAAGAAACAAAAACCAAAGTGGCCAAAAAAACAGTGGCCAAAAATAGCGTTTCCCTCATCATTGGTCTCCTCAAGGTGAAGGAGATGTGATTTATTGCTCGTCGCTTTCCCACACTGCGTCCGATTATGAAGTCTAGCATACCTCCATGATCTCCAGCAGCGCCTCTGTGACCGTCTCCAGAGATGACAGAGCAAAGGTCTCTCTCTCATAGGACCCCGGCGAGAATGAGCGATCCCTGTAGCTGGAACGAAATGCAATGACCGCAGCCGACTTGACCTTGCTGATGCCGAACAGCAGGTAGAACTTCGGCAGGGAGAACTCGGTCAGACTGAGACGCAACACCTGCTTGGTCTCCTCTGCACAGGGTAAGAACAAAACACTTCAGTAATCAATAACTCACTGATCCATCTCAAAAAAATATCTCTCTAGGGCAAAGATGATTGCTTACCGCTGAAGCTCAGCTGGGAGCATGTGCAGAGGGAGTGGATGATGTTGATGACCAAGCCATGCGTGGAGGCCCGCAGAGACAGAGGCCCCGTGGCCACCAGCAGGGTCACCACATGAAACAGGTACGGCAGGTGTGCGGCTACATCCAGAGAGTTGTTGAAGGACAGCATGAGCATGTACCGGGCCAGGATGGCGATATCATCCCACATCAGGTGCTGCTCCAGTGTTGGTGTGGGCGACAGACACGTCTTATCGATGATTTTGCACATGCGAATGATCACCTGTGGATCGGTGCCATAGAACTCATGTTATATGTCAATGAGAGAACACCAGTGTCTTTATTGTAAATGAAAATAAATGTAAAACATTTGGTAAATGAAATAAATCTGAAGGTAAACAGATTGTAGTAAACAGAACATTTAAACTACATTTCAAATGAAACAATGCGTAGAATTTCAAACCCTTATTATAGACCTTTTTCACAAGAGGGTCCTCGAAAGCCTAAAACTCCGTAAAAGTTTTTAAAGAGTCCTTATTATGGGTTTTTGAGAATGACCTTCCATGTAGTGTGTAACACAGCTCTAAGTAAAGTGAAATATCCAGCTAAGGCTTAAATCTAAAAGTGGACAGTGTTAAAAACTATTGATTCATTTATAAAAGAGTCAACTCATAGTGCTTCAAATGAATCGTCTTGATAACGAGTCTTTAGCCATTTCGGCGTGATGTCGATACGAAAATTTAAACCTGCGGGACTAAACCTGCCCACAAACACAGAAGAAGAGGAAGAGAAACAGATTCTGAAGACATGAGTCATGAAGACGCTGCGCTCAGCTCAATATTATTGGAAGTGTGAATGAAAGTTAGTGTTATTTTCTCTACCCAAAGATGAAACTGTGAAGAGTCAGTGGTTGAGGTTTATTTTTGCAAAAATAGCTCAGCATTATAGCCCAGCCTGTGTTATTCCCGTCATTTTTCTGATGAGTGCTTCTGCAATCTACACGCTTACAATGGGAGATTCGTCGGACATTTGTTAAAGGATCAGAAAAGAGTATTGATGTTTGAGACTTTGAATAAAAATGTAAAAGTTAAGACTTAGAAATAATTTTCAAACCGACTCACCCTTCCCACTAAATTAAAAACTGGTTTCCAAAATGTCAGCTTTAAATTGGCTACTACCAAAAGAGAAAGATAACAGATACACTATAGGTTGTGCAAGGATTGCAGGCTAAATGTCAATTTTGTTTGCCCCTTTGCGATGAGACATGAATGCCGCCTTAAATCTGAGGTTCCAGTCTTCTGAAGCTGGTCACACACCGGATGCGCCTTGCAGATGACAGTTGGAAGTAACATTTGCCGGGTGCGCACACTCGCATGTTATTTAAAATAAAAATATGAACAGTGTCCTGAGTTGTAGATGGGTGCTGTGGACAGCTGCCGACTTGCAGCACCGGTGTGTGTACACTGATAGAAATCTATGTTTAAATTCTAAAATGCTTGACGCTGTGCCGCAGCACATCCGGTGTGCAACCCCATTGACTGCTAAAGGTTAAAACTTTGGGTAATTTATTTTTTCCATTTGCATCTATAACACATGAAAAAGACTCCCATATATACTTGTCTGATGTGGGTTTCCTAACAGTAAACTGACCGTTTTCTAATGCAAGCTGAACTTTATTCAAGGACAGCTCTGAGAACCATTATGCAGATGATGTGTGCACAGACTGTGCGACTAAAACTCACACGCAGAAAGCACTGGTGATGTGTCCATCATGTGTAACAGTCGTGAGCACTGGCTGTACCGGTGCTCAATAAGAATGAGAAAAATCACAGATATGCTGTTCTGAAATAATGCCGGGACCCAGGAGAGCTATATTGTTAGATTGCCTGCTCCCATTCAAATTTAGACTAGAGTTACCTCTGAAATTTATTCCTGAAAAAATCTGGTTGAGTCCAGCAGCTCCCATGGCGCAGCCATGAGAATGCAGACCTCTATACCGTAGCACCCGGTGGAAACCCAGCCAACTGACCCAGCTGGTACTCGAACCAGCAACCTTCTTGCTATGAGGCGACAGTGCTTAGAAAAATAAATGAACGAATGGATCCTGATTTTCACTTATAGCTCATAAACTAGTGTCTGCAACATTTTTACCACTGCTTGACTATGGTGATATTTTATATACGAATGCCCTAACCAAATGCCTTTAGTCTTTAACCTCTGTTCACCACAGCGCCTTGAGGTTTGTTACAGGCTGCGGTAGACTAACACATCACAGTGAACTGTATGCCAAAGCTGAGTGGCCTCACACAGTATGACTCTAGTCTACAAGGCTCTTCTTGGTCTGGCATATCCTTGTTCCCTTCTTCATAGGTCAAAAAGCCACTATGCCCAACATTCAAGTGATATTTATCATTTGTCTGTTTCTCAGGTTTGAACTGAAATAGGGAAGTGAGCTTTTAGTCATGCCGCCCCCTTATTCTGGAATATTCTTCAGTCTGAACTCAAAATGTCTGAGCACATCCCAATTAAATCATTGCGTTCCATCCTGTACACCAGGGGTGTCCGCACTTGGTTCTGGAGGGCCGATGTCCTGGAGAGTTTAGCTCCAACCCTATTCAAACACACCAGAACCAGCTAATCGAGCTCTTACTAGATATACTAGAATCTTCCCGGCATGTGTGTTGAAGCAAGTTGGAGCTAAAGTCAGCAGGACACCGGGCCCTCCAGGACCGACTTTGGACACCTCTGCTGTACACCAAACAACCACAATCCATTTCTGAGTGTTTGTGTTTTAACATATTATAATTTGGTATTGCTGAAAGACTAAACAGTATATTTCTATATTATTATTATTATATTATTATCGTGTGCTGTTATTAAAGTCGTGTGCTGCAGACCTCTTGGCCAGGTTAATGCTTGTAAATGTCATCTCGATCTCAATGGGTTTTTACCAGGTTAAATAAAGAAATGTATAAGTTTGAGCTTTGGTTGACTATGATTCATTGCGGTGCGTTGTTATTGTATTATTATGATGTCATGTGTCAACTGTGACCTTAAAAATGCACTTCCTGCGTTGACATTAACCTGGTTTGTTGCACATGCAAGTGATAATTCTCTGTAAATCAATAGCATTCAACACTAGTCTAGCTTTACACTTTCAGTGTTACAGTTGTACTAAGCACTCTTACGAAAGAGTCCCAAAAAAGAGATACAGTATGGTTCATTATCTTAACACTTCTGACAGTGCATGCGTGCCTTACTGTACTGTAAACCAAACAGCTCAGTGGAAAAACCCATTAGAGGCAACATTTATCAGAAGTTCATTCCTTCATTCGGTTTAGTCCCTTTATTTTATCAGGGGTCGCTACAGTGGAATGAACCACCAACTATTCTGGCATATGTTTTAAGCAGCGGATGCCGTTCCAGCTGCAACCCAATACTGGGAAACACTCATACACTCACATTCACACACATATACTCTGGTCAATTTAGCTTCAATTCACCTATAGGGGATGTCTTTGCACTTTCTGGAAAACCAGAGCACAGAAGATAACAATTTATTTGGGGGTGAATAATTACGCACATTAATGTATTGAGAGACATTCTCATTATAAACCAGCAGCAGAATGGAAACTTGTCATAGTTTAAATGACATATTTAAAAGTCTAGTTCAGACCATCTAAAAGGGAACTCAGTGTAGCAACCACAAGACCAAGACATGAGCACCAACACAGTGTTTCAATGCAAAGAGAGAATTAGAGACAGACCTGACCAGGGTGGTTAAAGAGAACAAAAGCAACAGCAAGAGAAGAGGAAGCCAACCAAACCGCATCGATGACAAATACTGTGCTCATACAAATAACCGATCCTGATATAGCATTTCATCACATTACAGGCTTTTCACTGCTTCGTTACATGTTTATCTTTATTCTTAAAACTGGGACAAGTTTCATCTGCTCTTAATTTAATGTTTAACCTTTGCCATTTTATATGAACTATCCTAAAGTTTCTTTCTGGGCATAAACGTTACCTTGCTTGACACCAATTTGACATTCCCAGAAGCCAAAGCCACTGCAGTGTCCGCCATCACTTCAGCTTTGATGGATCCGAGACCTCCTGTCGCACTGGTTTTAATGAAACTGTCCAGAACTACATCAAGGAGATCAGTTATCTGTGAACACAGGAAGCCGACATGAGCTCAACATAGTCATGAGCAATGATCTATACAAGTCAAATTCTGTATATGTGGATTATATTCATTAATGAATGAGCCTTTAAGTAAGTGAGTGCTGCACACTGTACATGTCAGAAACTACAGTGTTAAAACCTCTTCGGACACTGTGTCCATTACAACGGACATCACATGTCAGCCCTATACTGGTCTCACGGTTCGGTTCCGATTATCATGCCATCGATTCGGTTCAATTCGATATCTAGGTGCATTGACGATGCTTTCTATACACAGTGTTATATTTTGGGGGGAGGCTATAACAAGCTGTTTGTATAAACACACAGCACCACACTGTCTCTCATTCACACACATACACATACATAGACAGCACCAAACAAACAAACAAACACAAACACACACAAACACACAAAAAAAGGAAAAGAAAAAGAAAAAGAAGCTCTTTTCCGACGGTCCCTTACTGAGAGCTCCGCTCAGCGCGAGCTCTCCCGGCTAAACGCATATTGTGAGGGCTTAAACAGAGCAGTGGTCGTAATGTTGAGCGAAAAAAGGAAAAACACAGCTGTGAAACATAACCAGCTTTGTCTTTTTGTAGGAAACACACTTTAGATCTTTTTAGGGTAAGAGGTTTTTGAGTTATTACCGTCTATCACTGAACGTGTCTGGAATATCGAAAACAAAACCAACTTAACCGCGCTCATTTCTGGTGCCCCCCTGGATGTACAACGCCCTTAGCATTTGCCTTTACTGCCTATGTCATGGACCGGCCCTGAGTTGGCTCCTGAGTGTCGTAAATACCTGAGCTCACCTCCCACGCGAAAGAGCGCTAGGAGATAAATGATGACAGTACTAATAACCGGTTATAATTATTACTGAACCGATACTGAATTGTCCACGTCTGCATCACGGTGCACCGAAAAAACAATTAATTTTGACACCCCTATTGAGCATATAGCAGATAGACAAATATCTCAGATGTGGACATAATGTCGAGTGATGAGGAAGATGAAGATACAGTTTTTTATAAACAAGGTGCAATCTATACAACAAAACCCTCAAATTTAAAATAAAAATGTTTTAATGTTAATTTTTGTGATTTTGAAAACAAATGTCAAGATTATACTAGATTATATATAGTGGCGGATTTACTGCAGGGATGGACAATATGGGCGATCGCCCAGGGAGGCATCTTACTGTGGGCAGCAGAGGGAAACAATGCAAAAAAAAATTACCAAAAAATAAATAAATAAAAACCTGCCTCAGTAAAAGCTTGGAGATACGATTTACTTTGTGCAGGTGTATTAATTTAGAGTGGTAACCACAGAACAAAAATGTTAGGGGCCATTCACATTTGCCGTGTTTTGCAAGAGCAAGTTTGTTACTCTCTATGAGCAACCGAAACAACGCTGGTGAAAGCAAACTGACACATAAGCAGAAAACATTTAAGATCTTAATGTCCTAAAAGATGTATTTTCCTGTAAATATTATCAGGTTGGACGAAGTGTGTATGCGAAACGATCAGTGTTTGAACACAGAGCTTATTATTTACAATCTCTGAAAAGCCGATGGGAAAAGCTTTAGCTTTAACTTGCCTTAACACACCTACCAGGAAGTTTCTAGTATCTAGTAAGAGCTTGATTATCTGGTTCAAATGTGTTTGATTAGAGTTGGAGCTAAACTCTCAAGGACACTGGCCCTCCAGGACCGAGAATGGACACCCCTGGCCTACAAGGTGACGTTATAGTCGCTCCACTCTATTACAGTCCAATGAAGGCGGAGCAAACATCACAAAAAAAGGAGTAGGGGTGAAATCAGCGAATATACTCAACTAAATAAATCAACATATGTATTTGAGCACTATTAATAATTATATCAAATCAAATTTACATAGTCCTTAAAGTGGCTCCATCCTGCAGTCTAAACAGCTCCTCAGCAAAACCTTCACAGGAATGTATTTGAAATCAATTTTGTTACCTGGCCCAAGCTCCCCCAGATCTTGGCCTGAATGGATGGATACATCTGCTTTTCGTTGATGGTCATGGTAATGAGTTTGTCCAGAATGGCGGTGACTCGTTGCCTTTTGGCATCATCGCTATGCTTGCAGAAGCGTACCAGGTTCAGCAGCCAAGGAGTCATGTACTCTAAACACAGGTGCTTTAGTTCTATACCTGGATATAAAGACAAAAGTCATTAGTAACCAGACAGGACCGCAAAGTAATGTACATGTTTAAAAAATGTCACCATAATATACATCACAACAAATGTATATCCTGACGTTGCGATGGCTGTTTGTGTTAATTTACATTTTATTTATTATGTACCCTTTAAAGTTCATAACATTTTATTGGTATTTGGATTGCGTGATGCACTTTATTAAATAAAAATAATTTATTTAAAGGGATAGTTCACCCAAAAATAAACAATTACGCACCATTTACTCTATATAGTGTGTAATACCCTTTAGCATGGTAATAGATTTTGGATGTATAAATCGATTTTTTTATTTATTTTTTTTTACAATTTTTAAAGTTGATAACATTTTATTGGTATTCTGATTGAGTGATGCAATGTTTTAAATGAGTATTTGACTTATAAGGATAGTTCACTCAAAAAACATTTACCCACCATTTATTCTATACTGCAGCATTACCCCTTAGTGTAATAATGTGGATTTTAATTTAAATATATAATTTTTGTGTAATTTTAAAAGCTGATAACAATTTATTTTGTTGTTCTGCTGGATTGATGTAACTGGTTAAATGAGTATTTGATTTAAAGGGATAGTTTACCCACAAATGAACATTTACCCACCATTTACTCTATACTGCAGCAATACCCCTTAGTATAGTAATAGATTTTAGATATGAAATGTATTATTTTTGTAGAACTTTGTACAAAGTTGAGAACATTGTATTGGTGTTTTGATTGATTGATTGATGTAATTGGTTAAATATGACTATTCCCAGGAGGCACACAACATCATAAGACGTTAATATTGACTTATTTAGGTTGTGACGTCAGGTGACCAAAATTTCAAGGCTAGTCAATGCCTAAGGACAATGTTATTTTGATGTTTAATAACAATGTTGATATTTGGTTGATTTTTGGTTGTGTTGGAAGGTGATCAAAATCCAACGTCAAACCAACATCTTAAAAACATACGTCATATTGACGTCAAATACTGACATTTATTTTACAGGTATGGCAACCAAAATCCAACGTCTGATAGACGTCATATTGGCAACATCCACACAGCATCAAGCTGTAACATCATTAGATGTTGATATTAGTTTGTTTTTAGGTTGTGTTGGATCTGTCCAGCTTTGGACACTAACGTCGATCTGATGTTGGGTTCTGACGTCAACCCCGAAGGCACTATTTTCTGATGGATGTCCGCTCCAGGATGGAGTAATGCATATCCTTTCTTATGTCTTTATGATTATTAATAAAGCTAATTGTTTAAGGGCCTAGATTTTATGATGACCTCATTGTTATCCCTCTTTAGAGTAAATCTGAAACAATATGTGTGTGTGTCACAGCATCCAAATGATTTGTTTCCTCAGGATCTACCAAGCTAGGTCAGAGCTCATGGAGGCCTCTTGAGTGGACCTGGACTCTTGAAGGATTGAAAACAACTGCCTCCTGAGTTATTTGCCATTTTATGTGCTAAATCTTTTAAAGTTAATTCCTTTGTATGTAAGCTGCCAGTTTTGATGTTTGGATGTTGATTGTACCAGTATTTACCAGTTTTGATAAGACGGTTGAGAGTACACGAAATAGCTTTGAGTAAGAAACAGATTGTACTTTGTGTAAATGTGTGTTCTATTCGTGTCGATCAGTATTACAGGTCTGGGGTCAGCTCTGAATACTCTAGCGGCTGTCTGACTTTTGTATGTGGCACCTAAGTAATCATTGGAAGATATTGCACACACACACATGCACATTTTCTAAGTCTTAATGTGTTTTAACCATGATGCAAACATCATGTGAGAGTATAACTGTTGTTGATTTGAGATTGTAAGCAAAGCGGCTTACGAATCATTGCGAGTGCTGTATTCTGCTGATCAAACTATCTTCAGTAAACTTGATTAATTGAATCTCTGACTCCAGCTCTTCTTCATCTGACAGACTGGTCATTTTTGGGTTAAAACTGTCGGTACCCCTATAGTCTGATTTTTATTTACACCTAAAAAGCAACGCCCCCATGACGTTGGGGTACAACATCAATCTGACATCATGTTGATGTCCTGTGCCAGATGGGTTTGACTTATAGGGATATTTCACCCAAAAATGAACATTGACACTCCATTTATCAATATTGCGGCAATACCCTTTAATACAGTAATAGATTTTGGATTTAAAATGTATATTTTTTGTACAATTTTAAATGTTGATAACACTGTATTGGCATTCTGATTGATTGATGTAATTGGTTAAATATGAGAATATTTGATTTGAAAGGATATTTTACTCAAAAATTAACATTAATTTACCTTTTACTCACACTCTAGTGGTTCTAAACTTTTATGAATCTCTTTCTTCAGTATATCTTTGTGTTCAACAGAAGAAAGAGATTTAAATTGGTTTGAAACAAGTATGGCAGAAAAAAATTTAGTTGAACTGTCTTTAAATGACAACACACACATTATAAAGAGAAATACAAAAACTGCTCTTATTAAAGTAAAGGAATAGCTGTGAAAATCTAAATATTACCAGAACACTTGAGCACTCCTGGATCCTGTAATGCTTAATGCACCACATTCCCTATTTCTAGACGAGCCGTAATTCATGTAGACATAACTGCAAGTGGCAAATTCACAATCTTTATGATAATTTGTGGCTTAATGATGCCTTCTAGCAGCAGTAGTACTGTAGGTGGGAACGTCTACGCAAAATAGAGAATGTGACTAATGATCTGAAACAGTTGGGAGGATCTCACGGGTCTTCTAGGAGTTTAATCGAGGGCTTAATGGGGCACTAACTGGACTTGCTGAATCCAGAGATACACTCCTCCAGGAACTCCAGGGTCAGGTGAGGCTCATTAGCCGCTAGAGTCTGGCTAATGGACACGATGAATAGAGTGTTATTGGCAGGGATGCACAGGCCAGACGTCTCCAGAAGCTGCCCTTCGATCTTCAGGTTAAAGGTGCATGTTAAGGCGCACAGGAGGTTATAAGCTGCAGACCTTTAAAGCAAACAGAGAGACATCCACTGGTAAATATCTGTTTTGTTAAAAGGGTTAGTTCACACAAAAATAAATCATCCTATACTTTCCCTTCAGTTGTTTTAAACCTTTATGAGACTCTTTCTTCTGTTAAACACAAAAGAAGATATTTTAAAGAAACTAGGTGTGAGGAAGGAAGGCTCGTAGTGGGTTCTCAAAGGATATAAAAAAATGAGAAAACCTCAAAATGATGGCACAACTCGCTGATATAACGTGTAAAGTGATGGTTTTATTTACAGTGTATGAGAGTGAAACCCAACACCCAGCAAAGTAGCAAAACAAACAAAAATAAAAGAACAAATAAAGAACAAACAAAACGATATATGTACAATCACAATAAAAATATACAAGTCACAGATCGCTTACGGCACCACAGTAGCTCGCTCGCTTGCCAGGTGAACTGACCCTGAATTGTTGTTTGGGGCTGCCTTTTAAAGGTGAAGCCCCACCCCCTTAACACAGACCAACATACCCTAATTAAAAGGCAAGTATAAACATCAGTACATGTTCTCTAGTTTAGTATTTAAAACCCATTAAACCCCAACCAATCACAATTAATTAATGTTAACTAAAATAGATCAACATATAAAGATATAAAGATATAAACATGAACATTTAAAGACATAAAGACAAGTATAAATCCATTTCCTCCCCTTATCTAGAAGACAATGGACGCGTCTGCTTCCGGTTGCTCTGGAGCAATCCACAGTGAACCCGGCACTATTTAGCCAGGCCGCTGGGAGGTGCTCTGTTTGACCGGCTGATGGAAGAGCAACCAGGAAGACAGATGAAGGAGAAACACGGAAGCCAAACAACCGGTAAAAATTAAACAAATAATAACATAAAACACTTAGACATGGACAAACCAAAAACATTAAACACTCAGACAACATGTGTATATGCGTGTATTTGTGACTATAGCGTGCATTATGGATGGCGATGAAGAAATGCATTTGTGGATGCGTTTGTGTGTGTGTGAAAACCAATGTGCTGATGGCGGACGTGTGCACCCGAATCGCCTCAAGCTTTTCTGGATAATTTTGGTAAGTGAATTATGTTTGAATGTTGAGCACTGTTTGTCAGCCAGGGACAAGTCACCTCATCACACCAGGAAACCTGTAGCCACTGTGTAACCCACCGGTCCTACTGCACCTAAGCCGGTCTAAGCTGGGATGAAACGGCAATTCTTTGCATGGTAGTTGGTTTCTTTTTTACATGGAGCTTAAAGACCACGGCCTCTAGCCACTAGAGCACCTTTAGAGGTCAGAAGAGTGAGGTTTACCTGCATAGCACTTCGCTAGCTAGTCTCCATTATACTCACCATCTGAACCTCACTCCCATCCCGGACGAGCCCCCAAGTGTAACCCACTGGTCCTGCTGCACCCAACCCGGTCTAAGCTGGGATCAAACTAGCGATTCTTTGCATGGGAGTCGGTTGCTCTAATAAGAAGGCTAGAAACCAGTGAGGTTTTCCTGCATAGCACTTCGCTAGCTGGCCTCTGTTTAACTAGGGTTGGGTATCGTTTGGGGCTATTTCGATACCGGTGCTAAATTAAATTTTAAAATGTAACCGATGCCAAAACGTTGCATGAACCGATACTTTTGAGCCACGAAATTATCTTTTATTTGACAAAATTAATTTTAATAGAACAACATAATGAAAGTTTAAAGTAAACATCAATTTATATTTTATATATTATATACTTGAGTTAAATTAATATATTTCCTTTGATCATTTGCTGGTTAGCATGAATTTAAGATTTGCATTATGAAATTACATTAGCTTACAACTAACCTGTGGAAAGGCTTTCATTAAAATACTGAACTCCTTTTTTCTAGGGTTGGGGCAATAACATGATCATGATGTTTATATGAGTTGCTATTTGAATGTTCCTTTCATGATCCCATCTTACATGTTATAGTACACAAATCGATTAACGTCATTGCGCCACCAGCCTAAAAATGTTTTATACAGAAGGTTTTTTGAGACTCTCAGTGTTTAATTTTCTTTTTTATACACACGATTATGTTGTCAAACTGTTGTATAAACAATATCAAACTCATAGCAGTGCAATATGGTTGTAGATCGTCACTGGTGGGACACTAAGGCACTTGACAGCTCAATCTGTCACTTTTCCCCTCGGTCAGTCGATAGTTTGACTTCTTGCCATTAAACAACCGCATTTCTAGCTTATTGGTCCAGGAAGTGATGCCTTAAATGGATTTTTTTTAAACTAAATGTTGATTATGTTGAAATGTTTCAGCCCTAGTTTACAGCCTCTTGTTAGTGAGTAAACTGAGTAAATGTTATTTTGGGTGAGCAATCTCTTTAACTGAGTAATTCTGTGTGTTTCATCACCTTAAACTGGGGTCCGAGCTGCCCAGGTTTAGGAGAGCGATGTTGAGAAGGGTCCCAGGAACATCTTTGGGCCTGATTTTGGTGTGTTGAGGAATGGAGTCAGGTTGGGAAAGCTCCCAGCGCGTGCGGATGTGGATAATGGAGTGAACTATGCTCTCACACTCCTGGTGCATGAAGGTCAGCGGCGTCCCTTGGTTAGCGATAGTCAGTGTGAATTGATTTTCGTCCACTAGGCAAATCTCCTCGATCTCTGAAGCATAGTAGATGTCGTTGAGGAAGACCGATTGACCCAAAACTCGTGTTCGTTCGGCTGAGGTGACCTGCACTGCTGTGCTGCCCACCTGAAGAGAAAATCCAAATCATTAAAAGGCACACACTACTTAATTTTTCATTATACAAGTCACTAGGGTTAAAAAGTTGAGTCACACCATTTATAATTCATTCAACCAATTTCTGATTTTGGCAGGAGCACTTTTTAGCTTAGCTTAGCAAAGATCATTGAATCGGATTAGACCATTAGCATCTCACAATTTAAAAAAAAAAAAATTTTGCTATATTTTGTTTTTATTTAAAGCTTGACTTTACTGTAATGTTTAACTCTTTTAGATGCTAATGGTCTAATCTGGTTCAGTAATATATGCTAAGTTAAGCTGAAAGTGTTTTTCGCAAACCCTTATATTGGCTGAATGGATAAAAAAATGATTTCTTTAAATTTGCTATACATTTTAGTTTCATTTTAATTTATTTATTTGATGATTTTGTTGGTTAGAGTTTAGTTTTTAGTTTTTTTTAGGCTTTTAGCTTAGCATAGATCATTGAATCGAATTAGACTATTAGCATTTCACTCAAAAATGACCAAAGAGTTTCAATAAATTTTCCAATTTAAAGTTATAAACTTTGTAAACTATACTCATTTCAGTGCAATAATTAAGTTTTTTTCATGCTATACCATGGCTTTAGCATGCGCAATGAGATTACACAGCACCTGTAAATAGTCCCCACCAACGTAATTTTTAACATGACCACCTATTTGCGTAGGAAGCATGTGCTGGTCACGACAGAGCAGCAAAGTTCCTTGATTATAACGCCAGAATGAGAGTACACAATATAAATACAAAATAGTCAAACTTTAAATAGATAAATAATCAAAAATCTGTGGTCAATTTTGAGCGAGATGCTGATTATCTAATCCCATTGAATGATCGATGCTAAGCTAAGCTAAAAGTGCTCCCACCAGACATAGAGATCAGCTGAATGGATTCAAAATGGAGCTGAATGAAGTGTTCCTTTAAGATATTGAAAACATAAAAAATTGAAACTAAGCTATAAGTAGTAATGTTTCTCCACACACCTTAATAGATACTTTGGTGTCTCTGTGGGCCAGTTTTAGCGCATTGTGAAAGACTTTCAGGTCTTCTTCCAGTGCAAGTGTAGCTGCCGGAAGCTTCTGTTGCTCTGGTTCCACATGTTCAGCCAACCGTGCAGGCGAATCAATGAACAGTAACTTCTTACTGCCTTTGAGTCCCGTCAAGAGTCTCTCATGATATTTGGTATATTCCCGGACCCATGTGTTACAGTTATAGATGTAAATGGCAGCAACGTTTTCATATGCAAATCCCGGAAAGACGACAAACCACTTGGAGAGGAAGTCGGTCTTGAAGCGGTTGCTTGGACCAGCGTGGGTTAAATCCACCACTAGCTCATAGGGTTTGGCATAGTATGGTTTGAGGGTGAGAAGGACATGGTATATAAGCAAGTCCCCATTTATCTGGCCCGTCTTGAACCTGTGAGGGAAAGAACAAAGACAGTCAGTAGCTGGGTTTTTAAGGTCTTATTATAATAAAATACACATTTCTAAATGTTAGTTTTAGTCCGTTAGCTTTAAGGGTGTCTATTAGCTAGTGTGCTCCAAAACAGGGACAAAATTAGCATTTAATATATAAAACTGATATAAATATCCAAAGCTTGCAGTTTGCCACTCCAGCCTAAATAGATCTTTCCTCATCACCTCATACTTCAGTTTCTCATCAAATCTTGACCAATCAAATGCTCTCTAACATCTGACATGGCCCGCCCCCTTCAAGACGCTTCTTATTTGCTTTTTATTTGATGCGCTTGAGCTCAACCACTCTCACTGGCAGAGCTGTGATAAAAAACTAAATGCTATTAGCTGTTTTTTAAAAGGGGAGGAGTTGAGATTGTGTCAAACTGTAGCTGTGTCTCATTTCAGAGGCTGCATCCTTTAATGGATGCATTCGAAGTGCACATCACGGCATGACGAAGGCGGTCTCATATTTAAAAAATTCGAAGGCTCCTTCAAATGCAGCCTCATAACGTGTCCTTCATTTCCTAGGTAATGTAGAATACAACTGGTGGATCCTTTGTGGCCTCGAACATCCCAAGATTCATTGCGCGCTGATAACGGCAGGACATTTTTAAAAGAAAACTCTGGATTAAATGTATGAATTGGGTTAATTTTACTTGGATATCTGAGCACACGTTAAAAACAAAAGGAGTATTAAATGTCTTAATAAAACATGATTTTATAGACAGTTTTAAAAAATTGTGTGCACATGTATGAATAAAAATAAATATATTTCTAGCTTTTGTAAACCTTGCTTTGCCTTCAGATCGCTTACAATAGTTTTTAAAATCACTCTGAAAAAAAGCCATTACAAAATTAGCGCTTATTAACGGCAGCTGTTACATATGCTAGGTGATGAGATCTGTCCTCTGTAGGCAAGTTTGTCTCATTTCAAAATGCTCAGTTTGGCCTGTGTGGACTTCAAAGGACTCACCTTGGAAGTCTGCACCCTTTAGAGGATGGAGCCTCTGAAATGAGACAGCTATTAAATAAAAAAATGTAAGCACTTTATAATTAAAGCCCTTCACGAGACCTTTAATAAATATTTTAAATGATCGCTTTCCCAGTACTGGGTTGTGGCTGGAAGGACATCTGCTCTGTAAAACACAAGCCAAAATAGTTGTTGGTTCATTCCGCAGTGGTGACCCCTGATAAATAAGGGACTAAGCCAAAGGAAAATGAATGAATTTTTGCATAATAAACAAGTAATTGAATTGGCTAATTTCAAATAAAAATCCTTTACTTAAAACTTAAAATTGGCATTCAATTGAGGTGGGTTTGGACTAATGTTCATGCAGGTAATGGAAGATGAAACCACATTTGCAGAATAAACTGTGATGGAATGAACATTACACCCCCATGACTAATTAGCTGTCTCTATAGTGCTTGCTTTATTTACTGTTGATTACTAGGTTACCAATACTACAGTTAACTGCTCTAACAACTTGATGGAAGCAAATTTAGGATATACACTCACCGGCCACTTTATTAGGTACACCTGTCCAACTGTTCATTTCTAATCAACACAAACTTCTAATCAGCCAATCGCATGACAGCAACTCAATGGATTTAGGCGTGTAGAAGACGATCTGCTGCAGTTCAAACCGAGCATCAGAATGGAGAAGAAAAAAAAAAGGACAATAAAGATTTGAAAAATGTTGCCTGGTCTGATGAGTTTCTGCTGCGACATTCGGATGGTAGGGTCAGAATTTGGAGTGAACAACATGAAAGTATGAATCCATCCTGTCTTGTACCAACAGTTCAGGATGGTGGTGGTGTAATGGTGCAAAGGATATTATCTTGGCAAACTTTGGGCCCATTATTAACAACTGAGCATGGTGTCAACGCCACAGCCTACCTGAGTATTGTTGCTGACCCTGTCCATCCCTTTATGAATGTCTATGAATATTCTGATATTTAAAAGATTCACTTCACATTAAGATAGTAAACCTGACTTGTAAAACTGAAAGATGGGCATACAAACCCACCGACAGCAGCTTTTACTAGATTGAACTTGAAAGAGGAAGTCTCTCAACACAAACTCTAATGTTGGCTTAACAAAGCCTCATTGCGTGTAAGCCCTAAAGGTTGATTCGTGTGCATTCAGACCATGACTCACTGTGTCACGCAAATGAACTGCTCATTTTTTCAACTTGTCAATTAGAAATCCGAAAGATTTTTCCTTTTAAAGCAGACTGGTGATTTGTATTATATAAAGTTGCAGTAAAACTACACAGATGAAGCAGTCCTCTGTTGATCGGAACAGCACACGTTATTCAGCCAACAATAGAAATCTTTTTTTTAGCATTTTGCTTCCCTGTAAAGAGTGATGAACAAACCATTTTGCATATGTGGAGAAAGTGGTTGCATCTGATGTTTCGGTATAGATTTTCATGTTTTGTTTTAAGGATAACATCAAAAGGGAACATAAAGTGTGGAACAAAGTGTTTAAAGTATGTCCCTTTTTCTGAAATGAAAAACAATCTGAAGCTTCTCTTCAAGTCAAAGACATAAGCCCTGTTTGTGATCCATTAAACCACTCAATTTCAATGATTATATGCCATTATATTAACTGAACAAATTGTAAAACATGTTAAAAATCACCCACATTGGGGATCACGATTACCAAAGGAGAGAAAAAATGCTGTTAAATGTTATTTCCGCATTTGACTTGCTCCTAAATAGATGCGACAAAAGCCACATGATGACTCTAGCCATGCAGCGGTTAATGTGCATGTCTAATATAAGAGTCCAAGCAGAAGTGAAAGAGCAGGCAGGAAACTCATCGCTGGTTAATGAGTGTGCGCACACCTGCAGCTTCAAAATTACCATGTCTCAAAAAGGCGCACATTAATAGTGTGCTCTCTCTCCCTCTCGTGCGCACACACACACACACTGACTCGTGCACAGATTATTCAAGCCTGTTCAGATAAGACAACTTCAGAACATCCAGTAACCAATCAAAAGGGTAAGAAACCATTTACTTGATATTTTATTAATCATTTTATTAATTAATTAAGCTCCAAAGCTCCTCATTTTTTATATTTCAGTCACTTTAATAAGTTATAAATGTATTACAACTTAAACAAGTGTATGCAATTATATATAGTTCCTTACAAAAATTGGATGGATAAGACACTGTACTTGCATTTTAATAAACAGTAAGGTTATATCAAGTATTTTTATATTTTTACACATACAGTTGAAGTCCAAATTATTAGCCCTCCTGCATGTGAATATTTCCCAATTGATGGTTAACAGAGTAAGGAATTTTTCACAGTATTTCCTATAATATTTTTTTCTTCTAGAGAAAGTCTTATTTGTTTTATTTAAAAACAAAAGCAGTTTTTAATTTAAAAAATATATTTTAAGGTCAATATTATTAGCCCCCTTAAGTAGTATTTTTTCTCGATTGTCTAAAGAACAAACCACTGTTATACAATGATTTTCTTAATTACCCTAACTTGCCCAATTAATCAAGTGAAGCCTTTAAATGTCACTTGAAAAAATCTAGTGAAATTAAAAAATTGTTACCAATAGCGAAGGATATTATTTGTAGAAAAATATTATTAAAATGTAATGTGACACCGTTGATTGAATTTGAATGTGAGATTTCTTGAAGTGATTTTGCAATAAATAATTCAAGTATATGGGTCAATGGAAATTGAGTGCATCAAATACAAGTAAAATATTTAAATCAATTTTGTAAAAATAGAATAAAAATGGACAGATCATAAATGAAGTTACTATTAATTAAATCAAACAACATACTTATTCTGGCTGTATGAATAATAATATAATAATATAATAATAATATAATATAATATAATATAATATAATATAATATAATATAATATAATATAATATAATATAATATAATATAATATAATATAATATAATGTACTTTTAATGTAATATATATACACAATTGAAGTCAGAATTATTTTTTTAACACATTTCTAATCATAATAGCTTTAATAGCTCATTTATAATAATAATAATAATTCCATACATTTGTATGGTGCATTTTCTGGACACTCAAAGCACACTTTACACACTATTAGGCGAATCTTCTCATCCACAACCAGAAAACCAGATTTTTTTTATATATGCCATAAAGACTGCACATAATATTTGACTAAATATTTTTAAGATACTAGTAGTATTTAGCTTTAAGTGACATTTAAAGACTTAATTAGGTTAATTAGTTCAACTAAACGGGCTAGGTAATCAGGAAAATCATTGTATAATGATGGTTTGTTCTATAGACAATCCAAAACAATATATTGCTTAAGGAGGTATAATAATTAGCCTTAAAATAGTTTTTAAAAATTAAAACCACTTTTAATCTAGCCAAAATAGAACAAATAAGACTTTCTCCAGAAGAAAAACATATTATCAGAAATACTGTGAAAAATTCTTTACTCTGTTAAACAGCATTTAATAAATATTTTGGGGAAAAAATTAACAGAAGTGCTAATAATTTTTACTGCAACCATTAGAGGTGTAACGGATCATGACACACCTGTCAAAACACATGTGACACGTAAATTAATAACTTTTTTTTTTTAGTGGATTAATTCTAAATTTGTTACGATCCCATAGAGATCACCTCCTGAGTTTTAAAACATTTAGGCTTTCCTGTAAATTACAATGATGATGGAAGAAGTTGTGGTTCTTTAGTTATTAAAAGGTACTTTCTGTCACTGTTTAGCCTGCATTAATGCATTCAGTGTAAGCTGCACAATTAATCATAAGAAGATCAGGATCTAAATTCAAACACCCACGCAGCAAATGATAAATGATTAGGATTTGAATGTTTATTAATCCTTTGATGCGCTGCATTTAAATCAGCGTTTGTTTGAGAGAAATTCATTTTTTACACTTTTCAGTTAGTTACAAAGTTAAATACAACCAAATAACACAAAAATACTGGGATAACAGTGTATATAGGTCAGATATAAACATTGATGTTTATGGTAAAGATTAAAAGCAACGTTTAATGCAACTTGACGCTGTTGAACGTTCTAGCAATTACATTATTTAACCAATAGGTGGCGAACATCAAAAATGCCACTGAATAATTCTTCAAAAGTTATACATCTAGTAATTAACATGATGTTTTAATAGTGTATTACTAAATATTTAAATGAAAATACGAGTAAAAATAAATATGTGTTGTACAAGATTATAATGTTAGATTTGTACATTTAGCGTTGTCAGCAACAGTAGCAAACAGTAGCATTTTATTTTTTTCATTCAGCTGATTATTTCTTGGTTTTTATTTTTATTCAAATTACAGGTAATAAGTTCTGTTTGTTAAACCCAAAAGTTTCATGCTGAGCTGTTGTTGTAATAAATGGAAAGCAAATTACATTTTTCTTCTCCCCTTCACAGCTGACCCGAAAAATCGTCCAATCCTTAATTAAAAAAGCTATAATCGGATCTGAACCGTGAAATTTTTGATCCATTACACCTCTAGTATCAAAAAAGTACAGGTCAGGAAAAGTATGTTGTTTGATTTTAATTTGTGCTTAATGGCAATTATTGATAAAAAAACATTGATAAACTGTATTATATCTTAAATGCTTAAAATGTCTTACTGACATATGGCAAACCGAATGGCTTAACGAACAACATCAAAAAAGTATACAAATTTAAAGTTGCAATTAAATTGTATTTTGCAGTTTAGTGCACAAATAGTCTTTTAGTGTGTCATCAAATGGTTCTTCTTCAAAATATGCCTGACAAAATGAATTGCATTTTTATATGTATACAGTTTTATATATATGAAATATATATACTGATTCGCCCTCCTGTGAAATTTTTATTTCTTTTTCAAATATTTCCCAAATGATATTTAACAGAGCAAGGAAATTTTCACAGTTTTTCATATAATATTTTTTCTTCTGGAGAAAGTCTTAATTGTTTTATTTCGACTAGAATAAAAGCAGTTTCTATTTTTTTAAAAACCATTTTAAGGTCAAAATTATAAGCCCCCCCTTAGCAATTTGTTTTCTTTTTTCGATAGTCTACAGAACAAACCATCATTATAAAATGACTTGCCTATTAATCCTAACCTGCATGGTTAACCTAATTAAAAAAGCCTTTAAAGTGCACTTTAAGCTGAATAGTAGTATCTAAAATATCTGTTTTAAATCAATTTTGTAAAATCAAATAAAAATGGTCAGAATATAAATGAAGTAATGCTCTGTTTCCATTAAACAACATACTTATTTTGGTCTGTATAGATCATAATGTAGCAAACAAACAAGGTTTAAGGCTAGTCAAGATTAAATTGCATGTTTGAGCTCTCAACTCTAAATAACTTGCAGTGAGATATCTTAAAATGCGTCAGTGTCATTTTTATGTCTCCAGGTGCACACCAGTAATAGATTATCCTATGGCCAGTTTATAAATTTGGCTTAAATGGTCTAATTTATCGAAGGCCTAGTCCTGGCTTAATCTAAGCGCTGTTTGTAAAACTGGGCCTTAATGTACTATATATATACAGTTGAAGTCTGAATTATAAGCCCTCCTAAATTATTACCAACCCTGTATAGAATATTTTTTAACACATTTCCAAACATAAGTTTTAATATCTTTAAAAAAAATTCTAAGAACTGATTTTTTTTTTTTTTTTTTTTTGTAGTTAATGGTGATCATTAATCCAATGAACTGTATTATTTTTTAAATGCCTAAAAATGTCTTGCTGACAAATGGATAAAACCTAATACCTTGATGAACATCGACATAGTATACAAATTTAAAATGGCAATTAACTTGGCTTTTTCTTCTGGAGAAAGTCTTTTTTGTTTTATTTTGGCAAGAATAAAAGCAGTTTTTAATATTTTTATAATCATTTTAAGGTCAATATTATCAGCCCCTCTTAAGCAATATTTTCTGTATCTACAGAACAAACAAATATTATTACCTTCTTAAGCATTTTTTGGTTGTCTACTGAACAAACCATCATTATACAATAACTTGCCAAATAACCTAGTTAAGCCTTTAAATGTCAATTTAAGCTGAATACTAGAATCTTGAAAAAAATATCTAGTAAAATATTATTTACTGTCATCAAGTCAAAGATAAAATAAATGAGTTATTAGAAATGAGTTTTTAAAACTATTATGATTAGAAATGTGTTGAAAAAATCATCCTTCAGTTAAAAAGAAATTGGGGAAAATATACAAGGGGGCTAATAATTCTGACATCAACTATACAGAGAGAAATTTTAGTGGGGGACTTCAACCCATATGTGGCTTATATGTGTCAAGCTTTAAAGAAAATAATATATTGTAACAAAACCTCTTTTTTATGTTGCAGAACCATGATAAGTCTCAAAACGCTGTGTCTTTTGTACTTTGCTTTGCTCGTTGGACTGACACATGCTGAGGAATCAACCACATTAGCAAACAATGATACAAAAGCTCAGGATTCAACCACCATAAAAAACGAGGCTGCAAATCCTCAGGACGCAAACAACACAGCAACCAATGATACAATTACTCAAGGCAGAAATAACCCAGACCTCAATATTACAACAAATGATACTGAAAGAAAAAATAACCAAACTACTTCCAACCTTCAAACTGAGTACATATCACCATTATCATCATCACCATCATCAGCATCCTCTCCAAAATCTACAGGTCCACCTCCAGTCTGTACACCAGCCACTACTAAATCCCCAGAATATCAGTGTATTTTCTCTCTACCATCTGGAGAGAAACTGCACCTGATTGTGGCTGTTCTCATAGTGGGCTGTTTGGTGTTGCTGATGACCACACTTATGTGCGCCTGCCAGGTTTGTCACCTGAAGGGACTCATCTCTGGTCTCCACTCCCGACATGACAACATTGACCTTCATGCTATAAGAGAGAAGACCGAAACGCGACAGAAGAACGAAGATCGAGTGGACAGACATCCCACCGAGACCTGTCTCCTGCTTTCGGAGGTCACCGCGGGACAAGAGCAGAGTAAAGAGCATGAAGTGAAGATCGAGGAGGTTGAGGAGATGGAGCAGATTGGCACTGAGATGCCTGTAATAGACCCGAATGGAGATGTCAACCAGGAAAATAGTATCGTGCCTGAGGAAAAACAATCAGAAAGCTCTGACAAGCCAGAGGTGTAAAAAGGTCATCGTTTAGTCAACTTCATGTCGTTCCAGAGCCGTAAGACTCTCGTTCTTCTTCACGACTCGAATATTGATTCTAAAAGGTGTCAGCATTTCTACTGAAAGACTAACTCTACCCAAAACTCTGATAGTTCAAAATGTCTGTTTAATAAATTATTTATTAATGGGATTTCTTATTAGTCACACATCACCAAGATGGCCAGTCTTCCTGAGGGTCAAGTTTATTTTTTGTACAAAATTACATTAAACTTTAATAATTTTAAAAGAATTTTAAAAAATGAAAAATATATAAATAAATTAGCGGATTAAATAAATAAAATTAATTAACTAATTAATTAATAAAACCAAATAAAGGAAAATTAAATTAAACTAAAATAAATGAAATTAAATATAAATAAAATTCAATGAAATTAAAAAACAAACCCCCCAAATTCTTTGACTGAAAAAATCAAAATCCACAACACTCCATATCATGAACGGATTTTTTTATGACATTACATTAAATTTCAATAATTAAAAATGAATAAATAAATTTGTTAATTGAACAAACAAACAAATAAATAAATAAATAAAATACAAGATTCTTTCAAAACATCAATATCAAGTTTACATTCACCGTCAAAAAAGTGAAAATAAATCTGTATGAAATTCCATTAAATTTAAATAATTAAAAATAAATAAAAAGAAATAATAAATTAGTTAATTGAATAAATATATTATTTAATAAATACCTAAATAAATACAAGGTTCTTCCAAAACATCAAAATTAAGTTTACAAAGAATAAATCAGAATGAAATTACATTAAATTTAATTATTAATAAAATAATAAATAAATAAATTAGTTAATTTAATAAATAAATCGTGGATAACGTCGCCTCACAGCAAGAAGGTCGCTGGTTCGAGCCCCGGCTGGGTCAGTTGTCATTTCTGTGTTGAGTTTGCATGTTCTCCCCTTTGACATGGGTTTCCTCCGGGTGCTCCGGTTTCCCCCACAGTCCGAACACACACACTAGGTGAATTGTGTGAGCTAAATTGGCCGTAGTGTATGTGTGTGAATGTAAGAGTGTATGGATGTTTCCCAGTGATGGGTTGCAGCTGGAAGGGCATCCGCTGTGTAAAACATACGCTGGATAAGTTGGCGGTTCATTCCGCTGTGGCGAGCCCTGATTAATAAAGGAACTAAGCCGAAAAGAAAATGAAATTAAAATAAAATTTCAAAACATCAAAATCAAGTTCACGTATGAATCAAGCAGTCTTCTGAAGAAAGCCAGTCACTCTACATCATGAACAGATTTTTATGCAATCTTTCATGACCATCAATTTATTGGTGCAGTAATGCAAACATATCACCATTTGTTTTATATGAAAATTGGTCTTCGATGAGAATCACACTGCGACGCTGTGGCGCAGTAGGTAGTGCTGTCGCCTCACAGCAGGAAGGTCGCTGGTTCGAGCCTCGGCTGGGTCAGTTGGCGTTTCTGTGTGGAGTTTGCATGTTCTCCCTGCGTTCGTGTGGGTTTCCCCCACAGTCCAAAGACATGCGGTTCAGGAATTGCGTAAGCTAAATTGTCTGTAGTGTATGAGTGTGAATGAGTGTGTGTGGATGTTTCCCAGGAATGGGTTGCAGCTGGAAGGGCCATTCATTCATTCCGCTGTTCATTCCCCGGATTAATAAAGGGACTAAGCCGAAAAGAAAATGAATGAATGAATGAGAATCATTTTAAAACAGCCAATAAGAGGTTACTGTAGGTCAGCATACACTCATTTGCCCCTCAAAACACAGAAATCTTTAATAAAATGTAATAAATGTTATGTAATTGAATTAAAATTGATGAATTTGGTTCACTGAAGAATGCATACAGTAGTACACAAACTAACATTACCAAAAACAATATCTGTCCACCCGATCAATGTATAATTTGCACACTGACATTACCCATGTTTCCAGATATCTATTTTTATGCACATTTATGTATTTTAACCATTTAAGGAACATAGCATTGAAGGTATGCATTTTATCAGTTGTGGCTTTCCCTGGGAAACAAACCCACAACCTTGGCATTGCCGGGTCCATGCCCTACTAGTTTAGCTACTTTTATTAACATTTAGACACTGATCAGTGAACATAAATTGAAACTCAACCAATCCTAAAATGTGCTGGTATGACAGGCAAGAATCTCATTGCTTCTCTTACATCTTAAAAGCATTAGATCTATGTGAAAAAAATGTTCAATTAAAATATTTTTGACTCGTATGGATTTGACTTTTGATATCTTTATTATAATGAGGTGCCAGAGTTTTGGGTGATTTTTTCTTTTACTCTTTTTCTTTTAATGATGACCGAATTGCAAAAGCCAAACTACTGTCAAACAACTCCCCCTAGTGTTCCTAAAACCTTCACGTGCTTAAGCTTTGACTGCTATCTTCAGCACAAGACTTCATCTTACATATGGTTAAAACAAAATAACGTAAAATGAGACTAAATAAGCAAATAATACAGCAAATAAGCATGTCACTGTTGTCAGCATAATTTTCCTACATTGTATGCAATTACATTTTTCTACAGCCAAATGTGTGCATTTTTTTGTTATTGTTTGTAATTTTAATGACTATATTCATGTTTTGATTACACTGCAAACATGTTTTTCTTTTATTTGTCTATGCATCCTTAAGATATAGAAACAAAATATATGTTTTACTAGTTTTTTTGAAGAACTGATCTATTTGGGTTTATTTAAAAATATTTTAAAAACTAAAATAAAATGTGTATATACAGTATTTGTTATTGTTTATTTGTTAAAAATCAATTCATCCAATGTTGTTTCTCAAGTAAACTTATTTTGAGCATGCTGAGACGTTCTTATACAAAAGAAATCCATTGTGTGTCATTGTGTTTTTAAAGAAATAAAACCTTTTTATCTATGTCAAGCACAGTTTCTCATCTGAATCTGTAAATATTAAAATAAATAAATAAACAAACTAAAAAAAGAAGACCAATTGAATCCATACAGTAGTTTGGTTCTGCAGCATCACACCATCGTGAGAATATACATCATTTCACAGTCCCTCACACCCAATATTTCTGCTATTCATACACACACTTAAGGCGTGATCTGGTGCAGTATATTCTCAGTCTTTATAAATAGAAATGCAGGGGAAAATAAAGCACAGCTGATGGACGGATCGCCTCATCTGACTTTAGGACTTTGACCTTTGTGATGGTTAACACTGGACCAACTCTGCAATGGTAAGATCAATTTTTCAGAGAAATTTTAAGCTATAATGTAATTAGGAAAAACATTTTAGCAAAAAAAAAAAAAGCAATAAAATCAATAACAGAAGTATTATAGTAGTATTATATATATATATATATATATATATATATATATATAAACATGTAAAATAACATACTAAATATTTAATTTAATAAGTAGTACACTCTGAACAAAACCCAATTCTGGATGTAATAGAGACTAAAAAAACTCCTAAGCTTATTTTTTTCAATTAAATTAATAAAACCAAATTTATTCCACAATTTGGGTTAGTCCAACTTTAACTCAATTTGGGTTGAAATAACCTGGCATTATCTAGAGTGCATGATAAGAACTAATTTAGTTTAATATAATATTTTATAATAAATATTAAAATTTTACAGTAGTCATTAAAAACATTGGTCACAAATGGAAATGAATGAACAAAGAAAACTCATCACAATATTTATGGGAAGCAATATTTTATATAAAAAGTAAACACTTCAGAAGATCAAATATCAAAGTAAAAAATATTAAAGTTTAATATAATATTTAATAATAAATATTTAAATTATACATTAGTAATTAAAAACAAAGTGGTATTTAATAAAGATAATTCAATGACTATTTTGGAGAAACTATATTTTATATGAAATGTAGACACTTCAGAAGATCAAATATTAAAGAAAATATATAAAAGTTTAATATTTAATTTAATAATATTTATTAAAAATTATACAGTAGTAATTAATAAAAAAGTTGTATTAAATAAACAAAGATAAATCAGTGACAATATTTTGGATAAAAAAACACTTCAAAACACTTTAGAAGATCAAATATTAAAGTAAATAGATGTTAAAGTTTAATATAATATTTAATAGTAAATATTTTAAGTATAAAGTAATAATTAAAAATACAGTGGTATCAAATGAACAAAAATAATTCAATGACAATATTTTGGAGAAACAATATTTTATATAAAAAATGAACACTTCAAGTGTCAAATCAATTAAAGAGATCAAATATTAAAGTGAAACTTAAAATGTAATATAATATTTAATAATATTTATTTTAATTATACAGTAGTAATTAACAACAAAGTGGTATCAAATTAACATGAACGAAAAAAAGATCATTTAATGAATATATTTTGGAGAAACAAGATTTTATATAAAATGAAAACACTTTTAAGATCAAATATTAGAGCATTGAAAGTTTGCATTTGGAGCAAAACAAATACTGTTGGATACTGTTGTTGTTTTTGTTTTTTAGTACAAAGGTTTTAATCCTATTTATATGTTGAATACTGTATAATTCTCCATAATAATATATTGTTGATTCATAAACTGTATAATTTTAGTATGGGGTCATTTGAATAAATAAAGTTATAGTATATCAACTGTATTTATTCAAGGGCAATATAAAACTGTATAATATAACACTGTACAATTATCCATTATAGTTTATTGCCAATTTATAAAGTGTTTAATAGTAGTATAAATGGTGGTTTGAATGAACAAAGTTAAAGTATTTAACCCTGTATTTATTCAGGGACAATATAATACTGTATAATACTGCATAATAGAATACTGTATAATTATCCATAATAATATATTGTTGATTCAATAAACTGTATAATAGTAGTATAAATGGCCATTTAAATTAAAAAAGTTCTAATATTTCAACTGTATTTCTTTCAGTGACAATATTTCATGCATTAAAAACACAACTGATTACTAAAAGTATACTTTATAAGCTTTTCTTCTCTCTTCACAGTGTTAAAACATCAAAAACTAAAGCATGGAGCTTCTCAGACCTCATTTTTGCATTTTACTCTTAGCCATAATGCTGTCACTGAGCATCTCTTCAACCACAAACTCTGACCCCACCAGCTCAGAAACACGAGACTGGAAGGGTGGAGAAGGTGTGAAAAGGTCACGAGTGAGAAGGCAGAACTTACCAGACACATTAGGTTTACCAGAAAAGACCTACGCTTTCTATTTTTTGTGGAGGCTTCTAAGTGAAGCGTAT